TAGATTAGAGAAAATTAACTCAGTGGCCGATGCAGATATGGCGCATTAATATCACGAAAAAGTTGTCACTGTTTTGTGATAGAAAACCACCAAAAGCACAAAGCTACGCAATACAGACAGATTTCAAAGTAGAGCATATAACATTCAGGTTGCAGTGGAGCTTGGCTTTACATGTCCCAGTCAGTGTTCGACTCTATGACCTCCAAGCAAACTGTGATAATGACCAGGGCCGGCCCAAGCCTCCATGGGGCCCTAAGCAAAATTTGGTTTTGGGGTCCTCTAGTTCTGCTAACAGTGTGTGTGGACTGGCTGTAATTCAGCAGTCCGATCATTAGATCATTCACACACCTGCTATAAACTTATTGCTTCTCTGGCAGTGCTGTTTACATTATATACATAATATATAATGTATAATATAGGATACATTTATTGGCCAACTGATTTAATCGATCCATTTGATTTCTGGGCGCCGATTTCCTTAATTTTGGGGAATTGTGATTGGCTGAAACTTGCATGTGAAGCCCATCTTATCCCCTGATCTTATCTTCGTCAGCAAAGGTTTAAAGATCAGCCTTTGTTCTGCAGTGAGAGGTTTGACTGACCGACCCACCAGGTCAGCTCTGCACGTTTGCACTTAATATTCACCCCACTGTTGCCAACTCACCAACTTTCTTGCTATATTTTAGGGATATTTTAGACAAAAAAAAATTTATATCAGCCAAAATCAAAATCGGCAGGTAAGGCTTTTTAAAGATCGGCCAGAAAACTGCAGTCAGTGCAGCCCTACACACATATTCATGACATTCTCTGATTAAATACATTTCTCTTAAGTGTTACTCCATTAGCTAAAATTTTAATTTATACCAGGTGAGTCTTTCTCCCCTGAGAATGTGGACAGGTACCAGTACTGGACTGATTCTAAGACTTCAAATGATTTTAACATAAGTTTCACATAACTTAGAAGTTGATGTAAAAATAATGTTTAACTTTTAGCCACAAAATGATTATGCTCAGCAGCAAACAACATATCTCCAACTACAGCATAGAGCAGCTCATCGATGTAGCAGCTTTGTAGCCTGACGTAAAAACATTTTGCTAGACAATGTCAAATATTGAGAAGTTTTAATTATCGTTATCAAATGTTATCAAACACGGCGTTTTGAAGTCAAAAATACCTCAGAAATATATAGAGCCAAGCAGGAGAATCAACTCAAAGTTTAAACTCAGTTTCACACAAACACAAATGTTTGGCCGTTAAACTGGACTGTTCCAGGTTGCCATCAAGCTAATTTTCTATTAGCAGCTTTACAAATCTTTTACATTACATTACCAAGGCACATTAAAACAAACCTTTATCTTGGCTTTTTTCTATTATTTCTCTTTCTTTAATAACTCCCACTCTTTCTGAAACTCTGCCTCCCTTCAGGAAGTCATCACAACATGGCTCCTCTATTAACCCTTTAACATTTTTTACCAGCGATGCACTGAGAAGTAGCTCGTTTAATGAGCTCAGCAAATGTGTAGTACCACCAGATGTTTGCTAATTGCTGCTGGCTAGTCTGAAGAAGCCGAGTGGGGGAGGCTCGGGGTAGCAGGGGCTGTGAGGTTCGCCTCAATGTTTTGCACAGCTGAATGGTTGCCAGGGAGATCAAAGGATTCCTCAAACATGCATAAAAAACAACACTCCAGGTATGTTTTTGATGAGGGAACAGCAATAGCATGATGTAAAGCTAAAAAAAATTTTTTGTTGCAACCGTATTGAGTGAAATTACAAATTGTTGCTTCAAAACCTGCCTATGAAGAGGAAAAACCAGAGAAACATTAATGTAGTCAAATGAAGTGCCTCATGTGATGTCACTGTAAGTATGCAGGCATGGAAGCTTGAAATAATGAGGGTAGCTTTTATGACTTAAAAGAGCAAATCAAATAGAAAAACTGTTAATGGCATGTTCTATAGGAGAAAATCTACATCTGAAGTGCTTTGATTAAATGTCACATCAATGCCTGGCTAGTCGCTTTAACAACAGCTGTGTGCATTGTGTGTTAACATGACCACAGTGTGGTCTTTGTTGTGATGACAGCACCATCATGTGCTCACCTTCCAGCCAGCGGAGCTGTTGCTGTCCCCTCTGTCCTTGAAATATGGCACAGACCTCACCATCCAGTCGTAGATCTGGGACAAGGTCAGCCTCTTCTCCGGCGAGCTCTCGATGGCCTGGGTAATGAGGTCTGCATAGGAGTAGTTGCCCCAGGCGTTTCTGCGGGCGGAGGACTTCCTCAGCTGCTGGGAGGCAGAGCCGCAGAGAGCCGCACCGGGGATCTGTGCGGAGGAAGGGGATCCGTCGGCGGCCTCGTCTTTGCGGGGGCCGCCCTGGAGCTCCACGGGCTGGGAGACGGAGCCGCGGCCGCCGCCGCTCGGCTCATTCACAGAGTCGCCGTTTTTCTGCACGGAGCCGTTCTCTGCGCTCCCACCCTCGTCATCCTCCTCTTCGGGGATTACGTCAGCGTCATTCGCCCCGGGCTTGCCCGCGACGGACTCCGGCCGGGGCAGCGGCCAAGTGCAGGACCGCGGCCGCTTCTGGGGCTCGAAGTCCGGGTCGATCTCAACGTTCGGGGGAGGCTCGTCGCAGCTGAGCGGCGCCTCGGCCATGTTAATTGCAATTTCTCGGTTGATGCAGAGGAGATGGCAAAATCACTCGGCTCGCATTCCATCAATGTTGAGTGCAGACTTCTTTGGGGAGTTTATTTACTATGCAACGCGGTATGCAAATCTGTCCCCCTCCCCTCCCCTCTCCAACCCCCGCAGCTCAGTCCCAACACGTGTCCCGCTTGTCTACCAGCGTCGATCCGCAGCTCACAGCGCCAACTGCGCTGACCAGCGTTAACAGAACATCGCCTTTTCTTTTCGTGGCGCACAGCCCACACCCCGACCAGCGTGCGCTAAAATTGGGAGAGAAAGAAGCGATAGGGGCAGCGGAGTCTCACGGCAATCCAAACGGCGTTCCCTTACGCGCGTCCCGCTCTCCAGTCCCGAGTGGCAAAAGCAAACGAGCCTCCCACATCACAGCTCCATCACACCGTGCACAGCTGCCATCTTGACCGCCTCCCTCCTTCCCCGCCTTTACCCCACCTCAAGGTCCTAATCAGAAGCCCGCAGAGCTGCGCTGCCAGTCGCCGGTGCGTCGCTCTCCAGATACCATCAAGGCGGAGAGGAGGTGTTCCTCAAGGCCCCGGGAGCTGCCGCGAAGGGAGAAGGCGAGGTTCAAGTAATCCGCCTTACGAGGAGCTGAGGAATACTGATGCATCCTGGCTGTACATCCCTGGCATTCTGGGCTAAAGCAGCGCAGCGTGGCCAGCAGCCCGCCGACGCTCCTCATTGAATCTGCTGCAGCTGCGGTAGGCGCAAACACTGTGAGAGGAGAAGGGGCGGAAAGACGCGATCCTGCCCCCTGGACTGCGCTGAAATTAAAGAGACAGTGCGTGGAGAGAGATGTCCGCTGGCCGGTGACATCACCCTTTAGAAACCTCATGTCGCTAACAAAGGAAGGCTGGAAATGATGTTACATGAAATCCATTTTAGTTGTCTCTATAGGAATTCCACCAAGTCTGACAGATTGAACGGGTTGTTTCATGTGTATAAATAATTAAACATAAATAAAAAATGTTGAATAATATGGGATTTCGTTTGTAAATTTTCACAGTAAGGAGTAATAAGGTCTGTCATAGAGAAAAAAATGTGGCTCCAAATAATTTTTTTTATTTTAACTATTTAGTTCTAAATGATCCATAAATCACTCCCTATATTTCCTAATGTTGAGAAAATACACAGGAGCGCTACAGAAATGTATTTCAATAAATTACATTATTTTAGAATAAACTAATTCAAATAATTAAACTTTTAATGAAAAGATTTTTCATTGTATCTTTGATTAATATGACTTACATCTTGTAAATTTTCAGTCATGAGGACGGCTGCTAAATTGACAGAAAGCAGGGGCGTGTAGTGCCCAAGGATATTTTTACCTTAGTAAAAGTAGAAAGAAGAAAAAGTAAAGTGAGATTACTAAAGTGAGAGAAAAAATATTTGGGAAATAGGCAACTCAAGAACTTAGTAAATGATCAAAATATCAGTTATTTGATATTTAATAATGACAATCAGGTGGAGCAAAATACAAAGTTATGTGGAAATTTTAATATTTTAAAGATCTAATTGAAAATAACTTAAAATAAATAAAAGTCAAGCAAAATATTTTTTCCCTCAAATCAATTTCTTTCAATACAAATTTTTAAGGAAAAACTACAGATGTGTGTGTGTGTGTGTGTGTGTGTGTGTGTGTGTCTGTGGTGAATGTTTGGTTAAAACAAGTTGGTTCTCCATTGAGTCTCACAGTTTATAGAGTTTCCAGACATTTTAGAGTAACAATAATTCAAAATAAATTACTCAAATGTAATGTCAAAAAGTACACCATAACAAAAAAATACTCCTAAAAGTACATATTTTCCAAATTAATTACCACACAACAGGAAGTCACCGACTCTCTTTCAGAGTGCTGTGTCCAAGCATTTCAATGGAAAGTGGAGGGAAAAAGTGTGATGACAGAATGTGCACAGGCAACATGGGATTGTTGAAGATGGCCATATTTAAGAGTTTGGAAGAGATTCACAAGGAGGTAAACTCACACTGACGTATCTGAGACATGGGCTACAACTGTCTCATTCCTGGTCAAACCAGTTCTGAACCAAAAACCTGAGCTAGAGAGAAAAACAACTGGGCTGCTGCTGAGCAACTTAAAGTCCTCTTTTCAGATGAAAGTACATTTATCTAGTTATTTCAAAAACCCAGGTCATAGGTCAGAGAAGCAGAGAGGCAGAGAATCTAGATTACTTGAGGTCCAGCTTGAAGTTTTCACAGTTTGTGACGATTTAGGGCACAAACCTCCACTGGACGATAGTATCAGTATAGAAGAATTACTCCTGTACATATTAAACTTCCCATATTTTCTTTTGGACTTCCAGAACTACTCCAAGCATCATCATCTACATACAAAGTCAAATGATCATGGATGTCTTGAGAGCTGTTGGACATTGGATGGAGTGCTTTTTAGCAAGGTGTGGTGAATTAGTCCAGAGTTGATGGTCAGCCTCAGAAGGCCATGGCCTCTAAACGTCAGAGTGCCGCCATGAACAACAGATCTGATGAACACAATGCTGAAGCTGTTTACGGCAGTAGGACAGAGCAGATTCTAGAGGAAGGGTAGCTCCTTCAGTGCTTGCGGCAAGGCATTGCATAATCTTGTGTGTGTGTGTGTGTGTGTGTGTGTGTGCGCGCGCGCGTTTCTTCTTCTTCAAAGCCGTCTGTTGAGGCAGCAGATTAGAGAAAAGTGAACAAAATGATAAAGAAAGCTGCCTCTGCTGTCAGGACTGCTTCACAGGCCTGCAGAGGGGTTGGATGGGAAACGACGATTGTTGCACAACATCCACTACACCAATTTCACACAACGTGTGCGGCTCGACCAACGCAGCATCTTAAGTTCAACGCTCCTTAAAGAGGGTCATCACAGAAGGTCTACTGTATTGGTTCTGTCCAATACAGTAGAATTAAAATGAACAAGAGGGGCTTTTTTGTGGTGAACGTCTTTGAGTTTTAGTTTATTTACCCATTTTTAAAAATCTAAAGCAAAATGTTTTTATTTCTCAGCCTTAAAAGGACACACCACCCTCTTCTCTTGCCGTAGCTCCAAAACAAGTTCTTCTTCTCTCATACAAAATATTTTGAAATCTCGCTCTGTTTGGTTAGTGAAGTGCAGTCATGCCTCTCAGTTTCATTAAACAATTTGATATTAAAACATTTTTCATCTTTCATAGTTTTCGGATTTTCACTGTTTGTTTCGCATCTTTAGTGATGACAACACAACGCTTCATTTTAAGGACAAAACCCGTGTGTTTGCACCAAACAAACAGGAACTTAAATTATGTAGCGTTTTCTCACTTTCACATCCCACATGCAGGAGTCTTTGTTTTAAGAAGTGCATCACAATTAATGTTAATGTTAAATGTCAGCCAGTCGACGTGTCGCTTTCGAGAAGACGAACCATTTCCAGTAAACCAGATGTTTGACTCGGAGCAGAGGATGAAACTCATGGAGGGATCTGAAGGATCAGGACATTATTTAAAGTTAAGTCGCATGAGATACATTTATAAACGGTATTAAATGGGATGGATGATGCAGATTAGGTTGCGTTTGTCATAAAACGAGGTAAAAGTGAATAGTCATGGAGGCTAGATCTGTATTTGTAGTGAGCAGCTGCCTTGGAAAACGATGCAGAATAATCAGAAAGAAAACGATACATGGTTTACATCGTTTAATGCATTCTGCATGCATTGCATTAATTTGCAAGCAAACTTAAAGACGAATCTATTCAGTCCTGTGGCTTTTAGTTGAAGGTTAAAGTCATTTATAATCTCAGTTTATTGTAATTCTACTTTATTTCCTAACTTTATTGTTTTTATAAGCTGTATCTGATCTAGTTTACATATCAAGTGTTTCTTGGCTAATCTAAGTGCTTTTCCACAGTTCCTCTGATTGAGCTCTCTCTTTTAATTCCTCATTGTTTTATCACCAATAACTATTACTGTTTCACCTAGTTTCCTTTGATTTGATCATTTCATTCCAGTTGAATGTATAAATCGTGCTCTACAGATGAAACTCAACTGGTTGGTTTAATAAAATAATTAAAAAAGCAGATTGGCGGCTCACTGTGTCTCTGGAGGAGCTGCAGAGTTCCACAGCTCAGCACCAATCAAAGTATCTTTGATAAGACTTGAAAATGTTCTGGTGTATCAATTTCCTTCCATTTATTTCAAATTAGGTTTTAGATTGGTTATTGCTTTAATTGTCATTTTTACATGTACTTTAAGATGTACATGTAAAGTGTACTGTAAATAAAATTGTATTAATTATTATTATTATACCCTATCAATATGTGGTACTTATTGGTCTAAACACACAAAATCCCCTTTAAACATATGAAAGTATGTTGACTAAATGCCAAAAAGGGGCATAAATAATTCATGTTTGTCCACTGAAATTTTGGAAACAAATAAATAAAATTAAAGTATCTCTTTGCAAATAAGAAACCAAGATTTAAAGTAGTTATATTTATATTATCTTTTCTTCAGAAGCAGCTAAACATTGCAGTCAGACTGGACTGATCCATCCACTTAGACTTAAGATAAAACACAACTCAGTAAGAAATCATTTCATTGAAATACTGAAAACAAAACAGACTCATAAACCTCCAGTAAAGGACTGGACTACATCTCTATAAACTGTCCATGTTGTGTTTGTATATCTTTTCCCCCCAAACAACAGAGAAGTTAAAAACTTGAGTTATTATATGACACTGGATTAAAAGCAACACGCCTCCCCAAAAATCCACCTTAAAATGATCCTTAAAGTGCAAATTTGCATTTAAATGATAAAATGATTTTAGATACTAATAAATATTGTATGTACATTTGCACAGATGCTGTTGAGCAGAACCCCGGTGCTCCGAGCGAGAGGAGATGGAGTAGTGTAGTATTTTGTTTTTGGCATATAAGCGAGTAGTTCATAAAGTATCATGTATTCTTATTTTCCGGAGGATTTTAAGCTTCTGTCCCCGTCCAGCCAGTAATCTTCAGTCTGCATCTCAGTGAGTCGAGAAACGGTTCTCTGAAAGGCAAACTTCTCCTCCTCCCCGCTGAAGATGGACAGACTGCTGGCTTCGTCCTGTTATGGAGGGAAAGTTCACTGAGTGAAAACAGGCGACGCTTTAAATAAACCCATGATTATCAGTGGAGAAATGCGAGTTTTCAGTGACTTTTGGGGCACGAAAGTAAGTAAATTAGTAGATTTAATGCTGGTCCAATCAGAAATGCAAAATGTTTTCAAATTTCAGAACATTGTAGACGGACGGAAAATTATAGAGTTACTCAATTTTTACAGAATCAACAGTAAAATTGATCATTTGATTCAGATATAAAACTACAATTTAAAAAATTTGACAAATTAGAACATTTTACAGAAATATTTAAAAAAATTATCAAGAAATGTTCAGATCTGAATGCCTAATTTCAGTTTGGAAAAGGAAGAGATCTGATTGCACTTAACCATAAAAACTAACTTTTACTCATTAAACAGAAGTAAGAAACAAAATTGGATTTTCAAGCTGAACAAAAGTTAGGACATTGTGTCTTTATCTCTTTAAAAAAATCCTGCTCTTTTTGAAACCGCCTTCAGGAAGTCATCACAAGCTCAGAAGAGTTGATTTTACAAACTAGTTTAAGAAATTATTTACTTAAAACAAACTCTTACTTCCTGCTGAAACTGGTGAGTTAGTTTTGTCTTATTTCAAGTTCATTAATATTCCCACTAGAAACTCGACTCTTTGGATCTGCAGTTCTGTTTCCAGACGTTTTCTAAGCCCGTCTGAGTGACAGCCTCTTTAATTGCTGATGTTTTTGTGTCCCGACAGCCCAGACCGTTGATGGAAAACAGGTTCAACAATAAAACAGATTCCCACTCTCACCCTTTTTAGCCCCAGGTCATCCATCAGAATGTGGCTCTCGTCGTGACTGTGATCCCCGTCGTGAACAAAAATGTCCTCCAGCGGGCGTTCGGCGAGTATCACCACCCGGACCTGAGCCAAGAGAAGACTCCATGTCTGCGTCTCGCTCTATGGGCTGGGAGAACGGATGAACGGCGGCGGCGGCGGCGTACCTTGTGGTCGTAGAGCGCGTCCACGAGCGTTATGAGCCGCCTGGCCTGAGTTTTCTTGTTGAGCGTCAGCAGAGGAATGTGTCGGATGAAGACTGTGTCAAACAGTCTGGATATTTCCAGGTAGTCGCTGGCCCCTAGAGGCTGAGAGAGAGATTTCTGGGTCTCAAAAAAAACTTTTCAGAGAATCAAACAAATGTTTACACAAAAACCTTTAATAGAAAGCAAATGTTTTATTTTCATAAGACAGTCACTTAAACCCGTTTTTCAAAGTGCACTGCAAAAACACAAGATCTTACCAAGTAGTAACAAATATTTTGAAATAAGACAAAACTAACTTAAAACCAACTTTTCAGTTATAAATAGGAGCTTGTTTTAAGTCAATAACTCCTTAATAGACATAAAAGTTCTTGTTCCATTGGCAGATTATTATTATATTATAACAAGATATTTTCCCCACATTTTTAGTGAAATAACATGACAAATTTAGCCACTACTTTTTCATGAATATTAAGGAATTATTGACTTAAAACAAGCTCTTATATGTTGCTGACAAAATACTTGTTAATTAGTTTTCTTTTACTTCAAGTGTATCAAGATATTGGCACTTGAAACTCGACCAAATACTTGGTAATATTTTGGGGTTTTTTGCTGTGTGGGGTTCTCTGTGTTTGCTGACTGCATGAACCCTGTCAGGTCAAACAATACCAACATTAAAAATGCAAAACAAACAGACTCACTCTGTCGCACAGCTCCTCAAACGTACAGTCTGCGATCGTCCCGCACGCTTTGTTCAGACGGACCTTCCGGTTGTGAACGTTTAAAACTCGCGGCCGGGTAACTAAACATTTTAAAACAAAGACAAACATTAGCCACGCGCCACAGCAGGAGACGCTGGTGGAGCTCAGCACTCACTGTCGTTCTGCTTAAAAGCCAACTCGTCGAACATTTTGTCCAGCACTGCCTCGGCGTCAGGTTCACCGGAGCTACACAGAATGAAAAAATTGAGAAAAGGGAGAAAAGCAGCGTTCCTGTTAGGTTTTCGTCAAGTCAGGCGGGACTTACAGGAAGTAAAGTTTCCCCGCAGAAGGCCTGTTCCGTTTGCGGTAGTCGATCCCTGAATCGAGGCGAAGAGTTTGGCAATGTTTCTGCAGGCGGTCAAAGAGACGTTTCACCTTTAAAGGGCCGCCTGCTCACAGCTGGAGGGCGGGTTCAGAATGTTTTAACTTACCTGCAGCACCGCGATAAAAGGCACAAAGTTGACTCTCTGGAGGCCGTTTTTATACAAATCTGATGGAACATAACAGGTTGTAAAATATTAGTTGCAGCTTTTGTGAAATATTAAATAAACTAATCAGTTTTAAACAGAAAGCCTGAATATTCTCCTTCATTTTTTCCCCCATCCGAGTCCAAAAGTATTTGCAAACTTGATGTGTTTCTTTTAATAATGTCAAAAACTCTTAAAGTTTTGGATCTACAATGATTTGAACTTCCCTTTCTTACAAAAATTAATGAAAAAAATTACTCCTTTACTGGTTTAATTAGAATTATTGCCTGGGTAAATGTGCCAACCTACAATTTTACTTCTAGAATAATAACGTGACACAAGACATATGGTCTTTAATTTTGGTTATTTTGGGGAGGAAAAACTTCCAATAACTTTTTTAAAATTTAATTGATTAGTTTCTTCTTATCCAGAGAAAAACTACAAAAACTATGGAGTTTTGAGCAAATGTGCTAAAAACCTCACTAATGACCTTCAGGTGGACGGTTGGACGTCGCCACGACAACAACGCCGTTCAGAAACAGATTTTCAAAAAGCTGCTTTAGGATCATGGCATCGGCGATATCTGTGACCTGAAATGAAAGTTAGCAATAAAAGTAATTTTTAACAGCGTGAACAAACATGTTCTGTTTCTTTAAGACGGTCACCTAAAGCACCTGGAACTCATCGAAACATAGCAGACAGGCCTCCTCGCTGATCTCCTCGGCAACCGGAGCGATGGGGTCGTAAGATTTGGCCATTTTCCCTGCTTTCCTTTTGGGCATGCTCTGCTTCAACCGATGGATTCCTGAAACCAAGCAGCCAAAATTAGGTACAAAAACAAGTTGGGAGAAGTATCAACATCCCTGTGTGACTTTTCCCAAAACGTACTTCTGTCTCTTGATGGAGGAGGAGCATTTAGAGCTAATTTAGAATTTAATAATGAGATGTACCTCAGAACAACACAAAACACTCACTTTTATGCACGTCGAGCATAAATCCGTGGAAATGGACCCTTTTTTTCCTCTCTGTTTCCACATGTGAATAAAACATGTCCATCACCATCGTCTTCCCGGTGCCTAAAACAAAAAAAAACATAACAGTTAGGATCATATGAATAAATAAAATGCATTAAATCCCGATGATCAGGCTTCAGTTCTCTTACCGACATCGCCAAAGATGTAGCAGCCTTTAGGGGGCTTTGGTTTGGAGAAAAACTGGAGAACACACACACACACACATACACACACACACAAAAATAAATCAGTAAAAATATTCTGACCAGTTTGATTTAGGAAGATTTTTCATCATGTAAAAAAATAATTGAAGGAAGTTTCATGAACAAGCAGAGGCTACTTTCTTCTCTTTTTACCATTAGTGAAGCATTTGAAATATTTTTGTTCAATTCAAAAACATTTTATTGATTCCAAAAGGAAATTTAAGAAGCTCAATAAATTCCCAAGTTAAAAACAAAGTTTAAATAAACTCAATAATGATGGAGAAAAAAAATCCTTCATCAGACATTAACAAAAATAAAAATACTGAAGCACAGCTAGGTTGCTTCTTTTAAGTTAAGATCTTGAATGTTTTATCTAATTATGTCTTTACAAAGACAATGTAACAATCAGCTGCTGCACTGTGTACAGTGACACAGAAAAGTATTTACACGCACAAACATTTTTGGCACATTTGGCAACCCATACTTTTAACTGTTACTCTTCAGATAACTAATGTACAATGTTTTTCTGGATTAAGTGATAAGAATACGCGGCTTTTTAGTGGTCACATAAACATGAGGACATGCATGTGAATGTTCACCCTCGACATGATGGATGTGGGTCTATTGGTGTATCCTCTCAGCGTTTTGTGCAGCTCGTCCAGCTTCTGCAGTACCGCTCTCTGGTGCTCGTCCTCCCGCAGGCTCCCGGCTCGGATCAGCCCGCTGTAGTGATCCAAAGGACCGCTGAACCCGGCGGCGGTCACACCGCTCTCCACCTCTACCGCCGTCGCCGCCTGGCCAGCTGTCACCGAGTAACCTGACAGACATCACACCGAAAACAAAAAAAGGTACGTCAGTTCATTGTTTCCCGCTTCAAAAGTCTGAAAATGATTAAAACGGCGAGCAAATGTTAGAAGGTAACTAATTTGACAGCTGAGAAGGTGTAAAAATGCACTATTTCTTTGTACAAAACAACAATAACCGTACAATTAGCGAGACAAATGACACATTTATAGATATTTTTAATTAAAAAAAACACTAATTATATTAAAACATGCAACCAATTCGTCTCACCTCGCCTGTAGAGCTCTGTTAGGCATTTTAAAATCTTTCTAGAACAAAACTGCTCTTTAAAAACGCACTTTATGCCCACCAAGGCTGACGGTGACATCTTCACAGAAAGCGGCATGTAGGCTGACATATTGGTGTCAACGGTCATCTGCGAAACTTTATTAGCACAGCAACACCGAACAGATGAACAGTGAGGAGTTCCTGTTAAATCCTGCAGGGGGCGACATATCTCTAACTTTGAGTTCTCACGTTTTATCACGTTACGACGAAAAACCCTCGACGTTTTCTGTTGCTGTTTTTATGCGACAAAATATTTAAATGTATTTATTTTTATTTAGCGGTATCAGATGTTAATAAGGAAAAGAAAGAATGTTATTTGTGAAAAAAGTTTTGAAAATTATGTGTCCTTTTTCTTTTACTTCACAAAATGGGTTAATAAAATAGATAAAACTTTGCTTTGAAGGTGACAAATTTTGAAACATTTTTCACCCTGGTACAATGTGACAATTTAAAAAAAACTGTCACATTGTACTGGCGTTACAAACGTATAAATACATTTGTAAGGCTCTGTACATAAAAGTTATGCTAGGAAAAACATGGATAACACAGTTACTTTTGGAATGTATATTAATACGACTGAAATAATCTTTCAGACAGTTTTTTACAGTTGTTACTTTACTGGTCTTTTAAATATGTATTTTAGATAACTTGAAATAATCACTGAAAGCATTTCCAATCGTTTTTTTTTTTTCTCAAACTGCAGTTAATCAGATGGTTTTGATGGATGTTTTTGGAGATTTTCCCACAACTTCCATCATTGCACATTCATTGTTTTATAATGCAGTGAAGAAAAACACTGACTGATGCCATTTGGATAGCTAAAACCACTATATATTTCAAGCATTTTAATCCTTTGTTCTTCATAAAACACCTATAAAATACTACTAATAATAACATAAACATGCTTGAGATTGCCCAACAAACCTCTGCAGCCTTTAATCCATAACAGCACTGTAACTAAAAGGAATGAAAAGGAGAAACTATCATCTCTGCACTGAGCCAGAGTCGCTGATAAAACATGGCAGACAACCGGCAGGGCTTACAGGCTTGTTGTCATGACAACAGAGGCCCCCCTCCTCCTCTCCCTCCGTGTCTCTAATGCACACACACACACACATATTGTCACTCGCTCACTGTCTGTCAGTGTCTGCTGTACACACACACACACACACACACACACACACACGTACAGTATTACAGTGGAATCCGCCTTGCTTTCATATAGGCGCTCTGCTATTGGAGGCAGGGAGGAGAGCCAGCAGCAGCAGCAGCAGCAGCCCGGAGCGCGGGGATACTCCACATCTCCACATCTGCTTCGGATGGTGAGTGCAGCTGACGGATCGATTCCTTGTTTGTTTACATGCCTCGTCTTTCACGCAGATCTCCTCACATTAAGATGTTTTGAGCATGAGAGCAACCGGCTTATTGTTTCTGGTTGTATGTGCTGCTGCAGGGGGGAAAAGATGAACCACAGTCCTTATCTGTTTATTTTGTTTTTTGTTGAAAATTTTTCCCTTCCCTCTGTTTGGTCTTCTTTTAACACCAGGGTAGACGCTGTCATCTTAATGGTAATTCATAGCTGGGTAGCCATGGTGAAGTCAGTTCCCACCCTCCCCTTCCTCTTGCTCTCTCCCTCCCTCTCTCTCTCTGCCAGTGCTGAATGCATTAGTCTAATGAGATGTCTGCAGCCTGTGTGCCTAGCAGCAGCAGCAGCAGCAGCAGCAGTGTGTTCACCAAAAAGGGAGACGAGGAGAAAGCCGCATGCAGAAAGAACAAAAAAAAAAAAAAAAAACAATCTAGATGGCTTTTCCTGCATTGTGAGGGATTTAGCTGTTTGTCACCTTTAGGCCTGTTGGATATAAAACCATCGCTCTCTGCTGCTGGGCTTTCACAATAGAGGACAGCAGGTAATAGTGACTCCCCCTCTTCGCCTCCCCTTCCCCTATCAGGTTTATTTTTGTGTTATCAGTGCAGGATGGAGGTGGTGTTCACTTACATGGCTTCTCTTTGTGTTGTTTAATTACGGCAGAGCTAAGTGCTTCTCCTGAGAGTGTTTTTACTGGTCAGATGTTGCTGCAATCCACGCTTCCTTTTCCAACCCAGCCCGCATCTAATGGATGCTAATGCTGCGACTTGTAGTATCCAGCATCAATGTGCAGGCAAAGTGCAGGTCTGAAAGGCTTTCCACCCCCCCCTTCTTCTTCTTCATTTCTGTCTGCAGCTCCAGATGAGTGTACTTGCTGCAGCGGCACAGAAGTCAGACAGCAGCAGCAGCAGCAGCAGCAACGGTGACATGCAGTCGGCCGCAGTGGCTCCCTCCTTCATCCCCAGCCAGCCAGGGAAGATACCGGGCAGGAAGAGGGGCAGGCCCCCCCTCCGCAGCGTGGCCAAGATGGATTTCCCCAACCGGTACCCCGAGTCGCTGCCGCCGCTCAAAGTGCCGAAGAAGAGGGGGAGAAAGCCGGGCTTCAAGGTCAGCCAGATGGGGATGGATGGGACTGTGCTGGGCGGGCGATTAAAAATGGATGTGAGCACAGGGAGCTGGAAACACAGGCTGGGGCGCATTTCTGATTTGGCTGTTATGTTTTCTTTTTTTGTTTATTTTCAACCATGAATTAAAAGAAAAAACGCAGATATTAACATTGGCAAATTGTTGTTTTGATGAGCTCTGATTGGGGTATCAGCCGGTCAAATACTGAAAGATCTTAACTGTTCTTCCCGTTAATTGATTCGGGATATTTTTATTTTTTTAACATATGACAAATAAACCAAACACTCCAGTCATATGACACTTCCTACATCCAGAAACCCACAGTCCTTAAACAAAAACTGAGGGATCATAGTACAAAAATAACAAATTTAACAGCAGAAACTTGGCATTTATTTTGAATATGTGAATGACAGATAGCTTCCAGCTTGTTACAAGATAACATAAATTTCATAATATCAAGTAAAACTTAAGGAGATACAATAATTATATAACAAACAGAGAAAATATTCAGGAGTGAGAAGAAGCATAGCTTATTGTTGGCTTAATTACTTAAATACAAGATTTACTTAAAAAATGTTCAATGTTGGATTTTAAAGGTTAGGGTTTGTTTGTTTTTAAATAAAAGTGAATCAATAAATCACTCAAGAAAATAAAAACTAATAATACACATTTTATTAATGGCAATCCAGTCAGTTTAACAGACAGGGTTAAATTTTCAACCTCAGATTGACAGAAGCTCAAATAAATCTGTTTGTTAAGCTTCAGATTCAACTATTTATCTTTTCCAACTCTGCGTTAAAGTGGAAGGAAATCCCTGATTTATGAAAATGTGTCTCTGTTCGGTAGAAATTTGACAAAACTGCGTAAAACTATAAAGTGGGAAACACAAAGCATCTAACAAAAACAAGTTGTAAAATGTATTTTGTTTTGTTTATTCCACCTAATCATGAGTAGCCTTGTTGAGATCCACAATTTCATCTTTAACAGTGGTCTGTTAAAGATATATACCTTGTTGGTGGGACCACTGCGTAAAACGTAGCATCTGGGAGATTTTTTCTTTTTTTGCTGCAGACACGTTATTGTTCCAACTTTAGAGGAACAAGTCTTAAAAAAGCTCTCTGATAATTAGCCTCCTGCTGCGTGATTAAAATGCATTCTGAAACTTTTTCTTCTGCAGCTCAAACCGCGGATGGTGATGACCCCTCTGGCTATTTCTCCACCCAGCAGCACGCCCGAGCCTGATATGAGCTCCATCCCTCAGGACGCTGCCACCATCCCCCATTCGGCCACAGCCCAGGTGCTAACAGGTAAAAAAAAAANAAAAAAAAACATAACAGTTAGGATCATATGAATAAATAAAATGCATTAAATCCCGATGATCAGGCTTCAGTTCTCTTACCGACATCGCCAAAGATGTAGCAGCCTTTAGGGGGCTTTGGTTTGGAGAAAAACTGGAGAACACACACACACACACACACAAAAATAAATCAGTAAAAATATTCTGACCAGTTTGATTTAGGAAGATTTTTCATCATGTAAAAAAATAATTGAAGGAAGTTTCATGAACAAGCAGAGGCTACTTTCTTCTCTTTTTACCATTAGTGAAGCATTTGAAATATTTTTGTTCAATTCAAAAACATTTTATTGATTCCAAAAGGAAATTTAAGAAGCTCAATAAATTCCCAAGTTAAAAACAAAGTTTAAATAAACTCAATAATGATGGAGAAAAAAAATCCTTCATCAGACATTAACAAAAATAAAAATACTGAAGCACAGCTAGGTTGCTTCTTTTAAGTTAAGATCTTGAATGTTTTATCTAATTATGTCTTTACAAAGACAATGTAACAATCAGCTGCTGCACTGTGTACAGTGACACAGAAAAGTATTTACACGCACAAACATTTTTGGCACATTTGGCAACCCATACTTTTAACTGTTACTCTTCAGATAACTAATGTACAATGTTTTTCTGGATTAAGTGATAAGAATACGCGGCTTTTTAGTGGTCACATAAACATGAGGACATGCATGTGAATGTTCACCCTCGACATGATGGATGTGGGTCTATTGGTGTATCCTCTCAGCGTTTTGTGCAGCTCGTCCAGCTTCTGCAGTACCGCTCTCTGGTGCTCGTCCTCCCGCAGGCTCCCGGCTCGGATCAGCCCGCTGTAGTGATCCAAAGGACCGCTGAACCCGGCGGCGGTCACACCGCTCTCCACCTCTACCGCCGTCGCCGCCTGGCCAGCTGTCACCGAGTAACCTGACAGACATCACACCGAAAACAAAAAAAGGTACGTCAGTTCATTGTTTCCCGCTTCAAAAGTCTGAAAATGATTAAAACGGCGAGCAAATGTTAGAAGGTAACTAATTTGACAGCTGAGAAGGTGTAAAAATGCACTATTTCTTTGTACAAAACAACAATAACCGTACAATTAGCGAGACAAATGACACATTTATAGATATTTTTAATTAAAAAAAACACTAATTATATTAAAACATGCAACCAATTCGTCTCACCTCGCCTGTAGAGCTCTGTTAGGCATTTTAAAATCTTTCTAGAACAAAACTGCTCTTTAAAAACGCACTTTATGCCCACCAAGGCTGACGGTGACATCTTCACAGAAAGCGGCATGTAGGCTGACATATTGGTGTCAACGGTCATCTGCGAAACTTTATTAGCACAGCAACACCGAACAGATGAACAGTGAGGAGTTCCTGTTAAATCCTGCAGGGGGCGACATATCTCTAACTTTGAGTTCTCACGTTTTATCACGTTACGACGAAAAACCCTCGACGTTTTCTGTTGCTGTTTTTATGCGACAAAATATTTAAATGTATTTATTTTTATTTAGCGGTATCAGATGTTAATAAGGAAAAGAAAGAATGTTATTTGTGAAAAAAGTTTTGAAAATTATGTGTCCTTTTTCTTTTACTTCACAAAATGGGTTAATAAAATAGATAAAACTTTGCTTTGAAGGTGACAAATTTTGAAACATTTTTCACCCTGGTACAATGTGACAATTTAAAAAAAACTGTCACATTGTACTGGCGTTACAAACGTATAAATACATTTGTAAGGCTCTGTACATAAAAGTTATGCTAGGAAAAACATGGATAACACAGTTACTTTTGGAATGTATATTAATACGACTGAAATAATCTTTCAGACAGTTTTTTACAGTTGTTACTTTACTGGTCTTTTAAATATGTATTTTAGATAACTTGAAATAATCACTGAAAGCATTTCCAATCGTTTTTTTTTTTTTTCTCAAACTGCAGTTAATCAGATGGTTTTGATGGATGTTTTTGGAGATTTTCCCACAACTTCCATCATTGCACATTCATTGTTTTATAATGCAGTGAAGAAAAACACTGACTGATGCCATTTGGATAGCTAAAACCACTATATATTTCAAGCATTTTAATCCTTTGTTCTTCATAAAACACCTATAAAATACTACTAATAATAACATAAACATGCTTGAGATTGCCCAACAAACCTCTGCAGCCTTTAATCCATAACAGCACTGTAACTAAAAGGAATGAAAAGGAGAAACTATCATCTCTGCACTGAGCCAGAGTCGCTGATAAAACATGGCAGACAACCGGCAGGGCTTACAGGCTTGTTGTCATGACAACAGAGGCCCCCCTCCTCCTCTCCCTCCGTGTCTCTAATGCACACACACACACACATATTGTCACTCGCTCACTGTCTGTCAGTGTCTGCTGTACACACACACACACACACACACACACACACACGTACAGTATTACAGTGGAATCCGCCTTGCTTTCATATAGGCGCTCTGCTATTGGAGGCAGGGAGGAGAGCCAGCAGCAGCAGCAGCAGCAGCCCGGAGCGCGGGGATACTCCACATCTCCACATCTGCTTCGGATGGTGAGTGCAGCTGACGGATCGATTCCTTGTTTGTTTACATGCCTCGTCTTTCACGCAGATCTCCTCACATTAAGATGTTTTGAGCATGAGAGCAACCGGCTTATTGTTTCTGGTTGTATGTGCTGCTGCAGGGGGGAAAAGATGAACCACAGTCCTTATCTGTTTATTTTGTTTTTTGTTGAAAATTTTTCCCTTCCCTCTGTTTGGTCTTCTTTTAACACCAGGGTAGACGCTGTCATCTTAATGGTAATTCATAGCTGGGTAGCCATGGTGAAGTCAGTTCCCACCCTCCCCTTCCTCTTGCTCTCTCCCTCCCTCTCTCTCTCTGCCAGTGCTGAATGCATTAGTCTAATGAGATGTCTGCAGCCTGTGTGCCTAGCAGCAGCAGCAGCAGCAGCAGCAGCAGTGTGTTCACCAAAAAGGGAGACGAGGAGAAAGCCGCATGCAGAAAGAACAAAAAAAAAAAAAAAAAACAATCTAGATGGCTTTTCCTGCATTGTGAGGGATTTAGCTGTTTGTCACCTTTAGGCCTGTTGGATATAAAACCATCGCTCTCTGCTGCTGGGCTTTCACAATAGAGGACAGCAGGTAATAGTGACTCCCCCTCTTCGCCTCCCCTTCCCCTATCAGGTTTATTTTTGTGTTATCAGTGCAGGATGGAGGTGGTGTTCACTTACATGGCTTCTCTTTGTGTTGTTTAATTACGGCAGAGCTAAGTGCTTCTCCTGAGAGTGTTTTTACTGGTCAGATGTTGCTGCAATCCACGCTTCCTTTTCCAACCCAGCCCGCATCTAATGGATGCTAATGCTGCGACTTGTAGTATCCAGGATCAATGTGCAAGCAAAGTGCAGGTCTGAAAGGCTTTCCACCCCCCCCTTCTTCTTCTTCATTTCTGTCTGCAGCTCCAGATGAGTGTACTTGCTGCAGCGGCACAGAAGTCAGACAGCAGCAGCAGCAGCAGCAGCAACGGTGACATGCAGTCGGCCGCAGTGGCTCCCTCCTTCATCCCCAGCCAGCCAGGGAAGATACCGGGCAGGAAGAGGGGCAGGCCCCCCCTCCGCAGCGTGGCCAAGATGGATTTCCCCAACCGGTACCCCGAGTCGCTGCCGCCGCTCAAAGTGCCGAAGAAGAGGGGGAGAAAGCCGGGCTTCAAGGTCAGCCAGATGGGGATGGATGGGACTGTGCTGGGCGGGCGATTAAAAATGGATGTGAGCACAGGGAGCTGGAAACACAGGCTGGGGCGCATTTCTGATTTGGCTGTTATGTTTTCTTTTTTTGTTTATTTTCAACCATGAATTAAAAGAAAAAACGCAGATATTAACATTGGCAAATTGTTGTTTTGATGAGCTCTGATTGGGGTATCAGCCGGTCAAATACTGAAAGATCTTAACTGTTCTTCCCGTTAATTGATTCGGGATATTTTTATTTTTTTAACATATGACAAATAAACCAAACACTCCAGTCATATGACACTTCCTACATCCAGAAACCCACAGTCCTTAAACAAAAACTGAGGGATCATAGTACAAAAATAACAAATTTAACAGCAGAAACTTGGCATTTATTTTGAATATGTGAATGACAGATAGCTTCCAGCTTGTTACAAGATAACATAAATTTCATAATATCAAGTAAAACTTAAGGAGATACAATAATTATATAACAAACAGAGAAAATATTCAGGAGTGAGAAGAAGCATAGCTTATTGTTGGCTTAATTACTTAAATACAAGATTTACTTAAAAAATGTTCAATGTTGGATTTTAAAGGTTAGGGTTTGTTTGTTTTTAAATAAAAGTGAATCAATAAATCACTCAAGAAAATAAAAACTAATAATACACATTTTATTAATGGCAATCCAGTCAGTTTAACAGACAGGGTTAAATTTTCAACCTCAGATTGACAGAAGCTCAAATAAATCTGTTTGTTAAGCTTCAGATTCAACTATTTATCTTTTCCAACTCTGCGTTAAAGTGGAAGGAAATCCCTGATTTATGAAAATGTGTCTCTGTTCGGTAGAAATTTGACAAAACTGCGTAAAACTATAAAGTGGGAAACACAAAGCATCTAACAAAAACAAGTTGTAAAATGTATTTTGTTTTGTTTATTCCACCTAATCATGAGTAGCCTTGTTGAGATCCACAATTTCATCTTTAACAGTGGTCTGTTAAAGATATATACCTTGTTGGTGGGACCACTGCGTAAAACGTAGCATCTGGGAGATTTTTTCTTTTTTTGCTGCAGACACGTTATTGTTCCAACTTTAGAGGAACAAGTCTTAAAAAAGCTCTCTGATAATTAGCCTCCTGCTGCGTGATTAAAATGCATTCTGAAACTTTTTCTTCTGCAGCTCAAACCGCGGATGGTGATGACCCCTCTGGCTATTTCTCCACCCAGCAGCACGCCCGAGCCTGATATGAGCTCCATCCCTCAGGACGCTGCCACCATCCCCCATTCGGCCACAGCCCAGGTGCTAACAGGTAAAAAAAAAAGAAAAAAAAAAGAAAGCGCCTTACAGAAGTTTACAGACAAGTTGAAGTTTTTCCTTTTTTAAAACCTTATAACCACAAACCTTAACGTTTTTAGTTGGATTTTATCTGGCTGACCAGATAAAATCTGGAAATATCTATAATGAAATAAGTAAAAAGTGTTTTTTAAGGATGCAAACAAGTTATCGACTTACGATTAATCATCGATTAATACTAGTTTATTGGATTAAAATTAGTTCCAACCGATTATCTAAGAAAGTCCACTTATGTCTTCTTCTATTGTTGTAGTTTGGTTGCCATCCAGAAGAGGGTGCTGCTGGCCATCCTTAACCAGAGCCAGTTGACACAGAAACAAAGATGGCGGGGCCATACCAGAAATGGCAAAGAGAAAACAGAGTCCAGTGTGGGATGGAAAATGAACTTTATGCGGTTCTGTTCTGAAATATAAACACTCGACAAGCTCTTTAAGTTTCATGATATACATATTTTTTAAATCTATGGAAAAACAGTCAATTCTCTTTATATGAGAGAAAACTTTGGTTTTTAAGAAATGGCCATTTCTCAGTCATTTGTTAGTCAACTTTAGATCAATTCATGAATTGATAACTTGCATCCCTAATGCCTTTTCCAGGGTTCTGTACATACCCGACCTCAAGAGATTTAAAAAATAAAAATAAAAAACATCCAAACTTGTCCGAAAAACCCAATCCAAGGTGCCATCTCTCCTCTGCTTCAGTTTGCATCTACATCAACAAGCAGGCCAACACGGGCCCCAACCTGGACAGGAAGAAGATCCAGCAGCTTCCAGATCACTTCGGACCCGACCGGCCGTCCGTCGTGCTGCAGCAGGCCGTCCAGGGCTGCATCGACAGCGCCTTCCAGCAAAAAACCGTGTTCACTCTCCTCACGCAAGGCTATGGAGGAGAAAAAATATCAGGTGCTGTACCAAGACCTCGACCAGGTGTTGTTCTCTGCTTGTTTACTTAACTTTTATTTATTTTTTTGCACTTAAATTGAGATTGGGTTGAGAGGAGAGAACCCCCCCCCTCCCCCTCGGTAGAGGTTTAATAATCCGATTTGTGAGAAATAAAGTGTAAACTGGTGTCGTTTTGCGCTTCCAGCCACATTTGATGGGAAGCAGCATCTTTTGAGCCTCCCTGTGGTGAACAGCATCGACTATGTGCTTCGTTTCCTCAAGAAGCTCTGTCGTAGCCTGCACTGTGAAAACCTCTTCAGCGATCAGCCCATTAGCCAGCGCAGCGGTGGATCCTATCACTCAGACGGTATCGCTTTAGCCTCCAAGAGTCAGATACACCAAAACTTGCTCTGATTCTGTCTTGACGTGGCTCTGTCTTGGCTCTAGCTGAAACGTCTGTGGCCGACGATTACCATGGAGACCAGTCAGAAGCCAAGCGCTACTCCGTTGACCACGGCGATTCCGCCTTCGGCTCCATAAGCTCCTCCTACTCCTCCAAGTCCTCCTACGGGTTTCGCTCTTCGCAGCAGTTCTCCGGCGGCTCGGGCTCCATGAGCATGTGCAGGCAGCCAGCCTCCAGCCCCAACATGTTCCCGGACGGCAACAGGACGGGTGAGAGATGGCCCCAACGCCGACCTGTCCTGGAGTCGACCTTTGTTCCGCCGACAGGAGTAAAAACTCCTCACTCTGTTCTCTCAGGAGGATATAACGTGTCTCCAGAATCCCAGGAATCCAAAGCTCCGGCCAATAAGGACCCGACCACGTGGTCTGTGGAGGATGTTGTTTGGTTCATCAGAGATGCAGATCCCCAGGCTCTGGGCCCCCATGCAGACATCTTCAGGAAGCATGTGAGTCGGATGTGTGTGCAGCGATGTGTGTGACTGTCACAGCTCCGACAAGAACTTTGACAAAGACCTTCATCGTGTTTTTAGATTGAGCTGAAATGATGGTTTCATCCCACAGATGAGGTTTCTGAGACTGTCGAATAATCCCATGTTTAAGACCCATATGTCATAATGTTAAAAGAATGCATTTATGTATTTTCCAGGCACATAGTACCATTTTATAGCACAAATAACAAGTAACTGTCACCTTCAGTTGATATAAATATGTTCTGTACTTAAAATATAACTTTAAAGAGGTTTGACTTCTAAATTTGATGCCTTGAAATTGGGCCTCTGTCCCTTTAAGAAGCTGCTGCTCTTTCCAACACTCTGCCTTCAGGAAGTCATCAAAACACTGCTCCTCTATTATGCTGTTTACAACCTGCAAAGTACACAACTTAAGCACCTTAAAATGGTTGCCATGGGAGATTCAAGGATTTCTCAAACATGCATGACAGAATCAAGGCAAAACTCCAGGTATGTTTTCAATGAGGGAATGACGGTATGACAGAATGAAAAGCCCAGAAAAGTCTATCTCACATAACATCGCCCTTTAATTGACTTCCAACACACGCCAAAGTTTTTCACAAAGCTAGCGGATATCGCTAAACTTTTGAAATGATCCATAACTAATTTATAAGCAGATATTATTTGTATACATAACACCTGCTGACATCACAGTGGGTAGCTCTGGAGAGCTGTTTTCTGCTGACTCAAAGACCAATCTGAGAAATAAAACACAGGACCAAGAAGGACACAGGTCAGAATCAAAAGATCCAGGCCTGACTGCCGTATTTTAGAGTTCGGTGGCAAAAAAGTTTGGTTCACCATTTAGTCTTTAGAGATCCAACACACTTTGTTTTGATTTGCCTTTAAGCATCTGCAGTAGAGATGAAACCCAACTTTTATAGCAAGATTACTGTTTTGACGGTCAGAATCCAGATACAGGAGAGAGATTTACAACCAATCAGACTCTGACCGAACTCCCCACAATCCTTTGTTGCATCACTGTCACATGACAAAACAAAAACCACATGACCACCCTTCTCTCCTGCACCTCCCGAAACAAATGGCAAGAACACAGAAATCAATATTGCTTGTTAAAATAGGCCCAGTTTTATTTGTCCGACCGACAAATGAAACATTTTCTTTTACCAAAATGTAAAAGAAAAAGATGAATATTGGCCGATACCGATGTTAGTGCCGATATATCATGCATCCGACTGTGATATATTTTGTTTTTCCAAATTCGTTTTTAGTAAAGTTGCAATAATATCTCTCTGATTAAAGAAATCAGTTTACTCAGTTAATCAGTTAATTTTGAAACATGTATGCCTGATTGGACGTTTGATTCATAACTATTAAGTATCCATCATCAATTACAGAAGAAAAACCTCACTGATTTCCACATAAACTTCTTCTTCTTCTTCTTCTTCCAGGAGATTGACGGAAACGCCTTGCTGCTCCTGAAGAGCGACATGATCATGAAGTACCTCGGACTGAAGCTCGGGCCGGCCTTGAAGCTGTGCTACCACATCGACAAACTAAAGCAGACCAAGTTCTGAAAACTGTGCCAAACCCGGTGTCCGGTAGAACATTCTAGAGGGGTTCGGTTCTCTGGCCGGCCGGTCTGTGACCCAATGAGAAAGAAAAAGTCTCCGTTTGATTTAGGATCCTTCCTATACATTTTCAGCCTTTTAGAAACATTTTAGCAGAAGTTTTACCTTCGTTTTAGCATTAAATGCTTCCTAACTGGATTGTGAAAGGGTATTTCAGTGGATGAGAACCTACAGAAAAGCAAATCATTTATGTTCGAGAGGCTAAAAATCAGAAACGTCTGCTGTTAAGGGGAAAAATTTGACTTGAGTTTTGGAAGCAGACGGACAGCCAAAGAATCTGATCCGACAATTTGTAGACAACCGATGAGATTCCCAGAGGCTCACAGACCAGAAGACTCTTTTTGAACCAGTTTGCCAATAATTTCATGATGTCACAAATTCGCCTCTCGTTCTCTCTCTACCTGATCTCCGTTCACAGATCTCGACGTACAGTTCCAGCCAGAAGTCACTCATCCTCATCGTGATATATTTAACTAGAGACTAGTGAGGGTGTATGTATGTAAATATTTGAATCTTATTAGAGAAAATCCACAACAAATCCAAAGTTGTGGGCCTAATTCCTGTTTAATTTTGTTCCATTTTTTTTATATCATGGAAGCAAATAGAAAAAAAATAATTAAATGCTCAAAATTATGATAATATCATTCTGATTTCATGTTCATGCCCAGAACGTGTGGATGCAAACTTCTGACCAGAACTGTACAATCTTGATTCTGAAAAACATCCTTCACACATGTAGCCTAATAAGTAAAAAAAATATGTTTTTTTCCCACAACAATCATAAATCATCATCTTGCCTAATTAGCTGGCTCAACGCATATCTGTACCAGTACTGAACAATGGTGCATTTAGTACAGCATTCGATTCACAGGTTTAGAAAATCACTTTGATACTATTTTTTCACATTACCGTATTACAAGAAGTAATGGATTTGTCACTCTTTGTTTTTGTATAACTTGAATATTTAAACAGTATAGCAAAGCAAAATAACGCAGAATATAAAGAAGATGACGGCACCGTCGGTGTGATATATTTATGTCTTAGAATGCCAGATTGTCACGTGCCGGTCATCTCCGCTTCATATACTCTCAGATTACGTTTTTTGTTTTTCTATTTTTTTATCATTTAAACGTTAGTGTCGATATAGAAAGTTGCCAAAACACCCAAAACCCCTGGCGGTTATGTAAATGCATTTATTATTTAGTATTGCTTTTTGTATGCCACTTTTGGTGGTACGGTATGCGTCCTTTTCTAAATGACTGACCTTTGTAAGTGAACGCTGCTGTGAGACACTGCAGGCGAGCCGTGTCCAGTGAGATCAGACGGAGGCGTTTTATTTTGAAAACCACAGCGAGGAAGAGTTTTTAGGAGAGTCCGCCGAGGCTCTGCTGGTGCTACACTTTATCTACGTATTTAACTGTTTGCTTTTGTGTTTGTGAGATCTCCACAGGATCTTCTGACTGTGCTGTACTGTATGTGAGCATTAAAACTCAACCAAGAGTCCAAAAGCGCTTGTGTGAAGTCACTTCTTTTCATCGTTCTGAAGGGAGAATTTCATTTTTTGGATGCTACAGCTAGCGATTATTTTAGTTTTATTTTTGTTTTTTTTACTATTAATCGGTTTTTAAAAATTGACTCATTTTGCTAATTTTTTAGTTAACCACTTAAGCTTATTTTATACAACATTAGAAATACATAAAATATGCAAATAGTTCAATTTCTTTTTTAAATGAGAGAATAAACATTTTATTGCCTGCAATGCAGCAGCAGAGCATTCCTTCAGTGAAGGCTCGATCATTAGTCAATCAATTGCATTAATAATAATCAGATAGCAAAAGAGGTTTTTACAGAATTTGCACCAGGTGAAGCTAAAACTATGTAAACTTTAGGAGTGCCACACAGAACAAAGATTTTATTTTCATCTTAAATACAAAATGCACATTTTGTATGTACAGCTTTGCCTTAATTGCTGCTCTAAGTGTGACATTCTTTCAGCAAATGAATGTTTTGAGTCTGCATTCTCCAGCTAACCATTAATCGATTACCAAATTAATTGACAATTACTTCAATAAACAATTAATCACAATTAATCGTTCCAGCCCCACTGCATGGCGTCAGGTTTGTGTTTGGGTCTGAGAGGCGTTTTAGCCTCATCTGCTCTTCAGACACACTCGGGGATTAACGAAGGTGACCTATTTTTCTGGCACTCTAAACGTCGTCCAGGGACTGTCTGTGGTTCCTCGTGGGGTTCTCAAGGGTCCCGATTAATCAAGAACAGGTTCACCTGTCAGCCATACCTACAGCAGAGTAACATATTTAAAAAAAGACCGCAGCAAAGCTGCACCACTCTGTCCAGTCATGTAGTAACATCACAGGCAGACAGTTTACTAAAGGAGCTGAGGAGAGTAAAATCTAATAGTAAGGCGTTTCCTGGTTCCATTTTTATACATTGGCGAATTAAGTGAGCAGAATTTAGTTTTGGAAACTGCAGCATGAATTTTGTCAAAGTGAAGTTTCAGACACACGGTCAAGTCTTCTTCATGACATAAACTGCAGATATGTTCACCGACAACATGCGGTACGGACGTCCAATCTGCATGAAAGTCTGGATTTCCATTTACACTCACTTCTTTGAGAACGTATGGAACAGTGAGGAGTGATGTCTGCAGAAAGCCAGAGCACCACTGACACCGTTTCACCCCATCCACATGTGGAAATGAGATCTGTGAACTTTGACGTCTTGGAGAGATTTTATTTTCACCATTTCTGAAAGAAAAAAAAAACTGATCTTCTAAGGTAGAAGATGAACAAAGAGATGGATTTTTGAGGCATGTAGGGTTAAAATGTCTGACAGTGAATCTAATTTTGCATGTGAAAACTCAAACCTTATTAATACTTCAGATTATTTTTAAATAAATGGATTTAATATCATAGTTCAGGAGAGCTAGAATTTCCATAATCATGAGCAAATTTATTTAAAAGAGCTTCAGGTTTCTTTCATTACACTGGGGAAGACGTTAACAGAAAAACTATCAGCTGTGCGCTCCACAGATCTGACCTGTATGGAAAAATGGCAAGAATAAAGTCATTGTTGAAAGAAATACATCAGAAGTTCAGTTTGCAGTTTGTCATGAGCCACGTAGGAGAGACAGCAGACAATTTGAAGAAGTTACTCATCCATTAATCTGTTTTTTTGACATGGACAACACTTTGTGTGTTGAAAACTATTGCACCCTAAACCATTCTCATGGTCATAAATGGTGGTGGAACAGGGGAGCTGGTCAGAACTGATGGGAAGATGGATGGAGCTAAACACAGGGCAATAAAAATTATTAGAGGCTGATGGATGAAAACTGGGGTCAAGGTTCACCTGCGTGTGGGATAATCACCCTAAACATACAGTCAGAGCTGGAATGGGATGATTAGCATTATGCGATATGATCTAGTCAAAGTCCACACCTACATCCAATTGACAATTTTTAAGAAGACTTGCCCATTATTCAGATTTGAGACTCTAGAAGAGAAACGAACCCAGAAATGTTGCAGTTGAGTGTCTTTGTGTTGGCCTGTTACCAAGGCCGTAGGTTCGGTCTAAGTTTTGGTGGGGACCTTGACAGCACCGTTCCGACACGGTCTCGGAGGCTCATAATAAATGTCAAACTAAGAAGCTTCCGTTCCGCGCACCGCCTGTTGCTGCTAATCAAAGATCGTAGATCCACGTTCTTTGAGCCAATATGGCAAAAATTGGTCGGGACTTTTTCATATCCCGTGAATATTGGTCGGGACATGTCCCTACCGTCCCTACCCAAACCTACGCCCATGCCTGTTACATAAAATCCCATTGAAATACACAAACGTTTTTCTACTGTAAATGCAAAAAAAGTAAAAGCAATTATTTTTGCCATCTTTACAAAAAAAACAAAAACAAGAATACATAAACATATGAAGCCTACTTAGAATTTTTTTTGCAACATAAGAATTAATTAAGCTGTTCAAAAAGGAGAATTTAAAAAAAAAAAATCCCACCCCTGTATGTAATTCTTCAATATACCCTTATGTCAAAATGCATAGTATATTAAATCAATGTTACATAGAAAACAATTTAGATATTTTTAAGATATGAATTATGGGTGGGAACGTATCGCATCAGTCATTTATCATGATAAATTTCTTAAAATAATAAAAACTGATTTATTACAGTCATAATAAATTCCAGTTAATGTTTAAAACCCCACAAAACCATCCATATTGTGGAGACTGATAGTTTAAATATTTTCTTCCAGAAAGAGTATCACTACATGTCCATTCATTTAAAAAATATGATTAAATGCAGTTGCTGTGAGCCATTTAGTGACAAAAATCATTCTTTATGTGAAAAGTATAAATAGTTATCGTCACGTTTATCGTTCTCACAAAATATCGTGATAAAACCTCCGCCAAACCCTCTGAATCCTCAAAGAGTATCCAATATTGTTTTGTTTCTGAATTTCCTTCATCTATAAATAAATTTATACTTATGCTTTTCATTGTTGTTCCTATTTTTTTTTATTCCCATCTACCCGTAATCTGTATCTCCCTTCTTTTTCTAAACAATTCTTCTCTGCTCCAAACTCCCCGTTGAGTTGCAACCAAAATAAAACATTAACTTCACGGACAAATGAACCAAAGCAAGTCTAAATTGACTTCGCATAAGCTTTATTAACGAGCAGTCTTTGCAGCAGCAGCAGCAGCAGCAGCGCTCACCTGGCCCTCTCTCTACCACAACCTGCTTAATGATTCCCCCTCCATCCACAGCGGGGCAAAGGCTGCGGCTGTAACGCGACAGCAACCAGCTGGAGCCACACGGAGCGGCAGCGCACAGGCGAACTCCTCATTCCACCAGGCTGTGATGCGCACGGGTGACGCCGCGCTCCTCTAGTTCGCACACAGACAGGCGAAGACTTGGCGTGGGATCGGACTCTGCTGCGCCTCATCTGGAAGAACAGCGTCGGGGAAAATCCCGCAAAAACCACGACTCTCTCCGTGCCGTGTGCGAGTGAGAGAGAGTGTATGCGTGTGTGTTTGTGTGTGTGTGTGTGCGCGCTCGGGATTTTTTTCTTTTTCTTTTTTTAATTTTTTTTTATAGGCGATCGTTGTTGAGAATAATCCGTTTTTTAGGTGAACGTTTCCATCGGAGGAAGAGAGGAGGGTTTTCTGGACTTTGCAGTGGAGACGAGCTGCTCAATTCCGACAGATAACCAGCAGATATAGGCTTTAATCAGGTAAGAGCGCGGTTGTCTGCATGCGTGCATGTCGTGCTGGGGTTTTTTATTCTTCTTACATACAGCCGTCAGGGTGTGTGTGTGTGTGTGTGTGCGTGTGCGTGCCGTTTCTGTGTGAGCGCATGATGTTACATGGGGATGAATGGGGATGGAGGAGAAGGCTGGCTCTGAGGCACCTGCGCATCCATAAAAAATAAAGCCTCTGCGCTCCGCCTGCAGTCGGCTAGTCGAACAAAAACAAGACGGAGGCGATTTACTGCGCGAAACAATAAAATGTCGGGCGGTTGAAGATAAGCTAATTGGCCTTTAAACGCCTCCAACGTGGCTCTGCGGAGGCTGCGAGGGAGTTGTGTTTGCATGCGTCAAATATTTATTAGATTATTAGGGAGGGGGGTGAGGGGGAAAGGTGTGTCAGGTTGTGGCATTTTTCATGTCTGTCGCTGGGATGAGCTGAAAACATGTGATGGAGGGGATCTGGTGGGAAAACGCTCTCACTGCGTCATTTCCATCGGAATGCAGCAGCGTCTCCCCCTCCTCCACCTCCCTCCTCTCCGCTCACACAGGAGGCGCACGGCTCTAATACCATTAACTCATTTGTTATTGCCCAAAGCGCCAAAGGGGGAATACGGCATCTCCTGGCACCCAGTCTGGCAGGAAACACGCCGTTCCCAGCAGAGGCGTGATCAGTCATGATGTTTTTTTTGTTTGTTTGTTTGTTTTGCTTTGTTTTTATATTCTGATGATGTAAAGAGGGAACAAAAACGCCGCAGTAAGCCGACCTCCTTGTCCAAATTGTTCCCGTCCTCCTGATGCAAACTGTTTGTCCTCAAGGTCATTCACGGCAGCCCGGCATGCGGTTCAAACAGCAGATCCGCGCAGCTGCAAGTGGCCAATAATGCGGGTTGGGACTGGCTCTGTGAGGCGCAGAGGAGGCTGAGCGTCAAAACGCGGGGCTTTGCACTGATTTTTTTTTTTTTTTTTTTGGCTGCGGCGCACATTAGTGCTGCTGCTGCTGCTTGTTGTGGAAAGCCCGAGTCAACGCAGTGCAGAGTGTGGTGGAGCTGTCCAGAATGCTGCTGCTGCAGAGATGTGGACCAACATTAATCCATACTCCCCCAACTTTAGTGTCTTAGTTTAATGTCTCCATCAAACATAAAGTGAGGGAAGAAATAGCCGACAAAGTGGCAGGAGATGGAAATATGGTTCCAAGATATTTACAAGTAAAAATCTGAGAAGTGTGGCATGCATTTGCAGTTTTTTTTAGAACCATATAATAGACATATGGTAATATCATAGTTCATTATGAATATTCAGACCTTTAAAGACCAAAGGCTGTACTGAAGACTTTGGGAAGAAGCAAAATGAGCTTTAAACCAATAATGATTAGTTTAATCTTTAACTAATAAAGATTAGCTTAAAATTAAACTAACAGCAATTGGTCTGTGGTCAGGGAAAAGTTTGAACAACAGTATCTTGACAGCAGAAGTTAAGATAAAAATTGTATTTTGAGAAAACAAAGTTTTGCTTAATAATTGGCTGAATTAGATATTAATAACCTTTTGGAAAATTGACTCTTAAATGACCAGCTACAGCCATGACACATATGATTTAGACTTCCATCTCACACAAGATGGCACCTTAAAACTGAAGAAACTGCCATTTTGGGAATCTCTTTAAGTCCTACAGAATTTATAAGCACCATTAATAGTAGTAGCGTTCTGCCACGACTGATTACAGAATAGCTTTCTCTGTTTGTGTTGCAAAAAGCAGAATCAATATCAGCAGAGCGTTTAGTTATTACCGTTAGCATTAAGCTAACAGACACCATTTAGCATGTTTGTTTTGAACAATTTTATAAGTTAGCGTGAAGAAATTAAAGGAAATCTTTAATATGACAGAGTAAGCTAACGCAAGCTAACATAAACTAACATGGTATGAGTAAAATGACTATTATTGCATTCTGGGATGAATAGATTTTATCCCAGTCTCTTTGTATGTTGTTTCAGTCCTTCATGGCTGGGTCCCAACACCTTTGTGTCTTATGCCTAATTCCTGATGGCTTTCTTTCAGCAAACACTTTTTCTTGCCACTCTATCACAACGGCTAGATTTGCGGGAGTGGTCAACAAACAGAAATACTGCCAAAACGTTTTCCTACTTGAATCATAAACCTCTGCAGCTCCTCCATAGTAACCAGACCGCTTGGCTGCTTCACTGGTTAATCCTCTGCTTGTTTGAGTTGTGAGTTCAGATCAGTCCTTGACGACCCGTGTCCCTGTCGCAGAGATGTGTCTAAAAGCTTGCATCATTAAAAAGAGTGTGCCTTTATCGGATCGTTTATCATTTATCGTGATAACTTTCTTCTAAGGATAAGAATTTTGATTTATTGTTGTCACAATAAATTCCAATTAATGATGTTCAAAGCCCCCCAGAAGTGTTTTTATTGTCAGGATTGATAGTTTTACCATTTTCTCCACTGCTGTTCAATCAAAGCATCAATAAATGCCGATACATTTGAAAATACAGTGACTGTGTGTGCAGGTTAGTGACACAAATCACACTCCATTATGTGACTGGGGAAAAAAAACACAATTAAATGTTTTTTAATTGTGTTTGTGGGACTATAATAGCTGTGACACACAGTTACAGTCATACACTTACCAATAAAAGATGTAATAAATAGTTCTTATTGTTACTTTTATTCACTATGGTTGCGCAAACTATTGTGATAAAACCTTAAGACAACATTGCTCAGCCATACCCTTAAACAATATTTTATGTTGGTTTAATGTATAAAAATCCCAGTAAAAGACATTGGGATTTGAAGCTGTGACATGACAAAAAGCAAATGCATACATTTGCAGGACGTTCTCTTCTCTGACCCATGCATCCCCACATTAAATAATATCCGGCTGTCTCATTAGTTTAATTATGCATCTGCCTATTCTTGGCCGTCTTATGTCATTTGCCACATCATGAGTCAATATTTCATGAACGCGTTGCTTCAGAGAGGCAGCTGGAGTTGTCGTAGCTGCTGCTGAGTGCCTTCATCATGTGGTTAACAAACTAATCCGAAGCTGACGGCACACCGGACTGTCCGCAGCTGGTTTTAGGCACAGTGGTACTCACAGACCACTCAGTTATAAGCCATATTCCCCACTGATCCAGATTACAGCTAGCCCTGCTGCGCGCTCCTGCGTGCCCCCACCGCCGTCCCCACGTCTGTGTGGACTCACTGCAGCTGTGTCGCTCTTACGCGCAAGCGGAGGCTTTGTTGTGATTGTCATCGGCGTGGGGACGGTGTTTGCAGTGGAAACTTGATAGCAGCGAGCTATCGAACGTTTTGGTGAACTGGATCTGCTTTGACAGTGATGATCCAGGTCACGGCTTACTGGGGGCCCGGAGCCTGGCACCCGCAAAGGGCCACAGAAATAGAACACGAGCATCATGGAACTATCCGCGCTTCCGTCCAAGAAGAGGATCGAATCAGTTTATAGTTGGTATGATTAAAAGCTGAACAAGAGTTTTTTCCTTTTAGAGCTCACTAATGTGAAATGTTATTAGACATAAATACGTAAACGAGTACCACCACATTCACCTTGTGTCACATTGCTCACAAACTGCAATGGATTTTATTTTATTGGTCTATTATTTAGAATAAAAGACGAAAAAGCAGAGCACAACTGAAGTGGATTGACAGAAAATCTAAAAAATGTGCTGCGCATTTGAATTCACTTGACTCCGATACCCTTAAATCAAATTTACTGCAACAAAGTGATTAAGAAATCACTTACTTAGTGCAAAAAATCCTTTTGCGTGTAATTTAATCTTACTGTAAATCCAGCTAGACAAAGTGAACTCCTAGCTCTGAGCCTTGTGTGGGAAAACGTGTTGATATAAGATGTCCTATTTAAAGCTTTCCACAAGCCATATAGGGAACACAGCAAACATATGGAAGAAGGCGCTCTGAAACGCCTTGCCCAAGAGCACAGTGTCAAGGCAATGAAGTTTATTTGTACGGCACGTTTCAGCAACAGGACCGTTCAAAGTGCTTTACACCATAAAAACATAACAGAGAAGCTATGAAACAAGCAATAAACATTACATTCTGTCAAAAGAAATCATGGAAATCATCAAGCGACTGCACATCAAATATGTTGATTATTGTTCCAGTTACTAGGAATCAATGGCAGCTCTAAACAGGTGGGATTTTAGCCTTGATTTAACAGAACTCCGTGTTTCAGCTGTTTGAAAGTTTTCTGGAAGTTTGTTCCACATTAGTTGAGCATAAAAAACTGAATGCTGCTTCTCCATGTTTGGTTCTGGTCCTGGAGATGCAGAGCTGACTGGAACCAGAAGACCTGAGTAGTCAGGCTGATTCAATGGAAAAAAACAATCTTGCTGGGGGAGGAAGTCAACATTTTCTAACTGCAAGACAACCAAACCCCAGCTGTCCGATGAACCGACGAGACCAGGACGTAGCGTCGCCCTAGGACGCCGTCTCAGGCAGTGCTAGCATGGGAAGAAGAATGTGGCTAGATACAGGGCAATCCTGTTAGAGCAGGTATCTTAAACTCCAGTCATCGTCACAGCCCTGCAGCCTTTACATACCAATATTCTTCAACATGTGTAACTCAAATATACAGCAGCACTTTGGATCTGAAAGTTTTAGGACACTTGTCCTTGAAGGCTGGTGTTCGAAATAAAGGGTTCCAGTCTCAGGTGTAGGTAAAAGGAAGTGTGAGAGTAGTCTAGCCTAATCCGAGACACAAATCCAATTGAGAGTCTGTTGCAACAATCGAAAAATTATGTTTGCAGATGCTCTGAGCTTGAGGTATTTTCCATTGAAGAATGCGTACGATTTTCAGTCTCTAGATGTGCAAATCTGGTAGAGACATGCATCTGCATAAGAGATACAATACTTTGTGTTAGTCCATAAAAATGTCGATATAAGACATTGAAGTTTGTGATTCAAGTTCAGCCAGTGTGGCTTTGCAAAGCGCCATAATGCGTGACTTTAACTGCAGTTCAGTATTTTAACAGCAGGTGTTTTTGTGTTTGATGTTCTGTTGCTGTTTATCTGATGGCGTGTCTGTCAAGGTTCAGAGTCCTGTTCCCCTCACCGTCCTCTGCAGGGCGTTCTTGTCTGCCTTGTTGCAGCAGGAGTACCACTCCAAAAACAACAGAAATGCAAAGGCAACACTCAACCCTGACATTAACAGCAAGTTATTTTACCACAGGAATCATGGGAAAGCAAAACAGCAAGCTGACTCCTGAGGTGATGGAGGATCTGGTGAAGAACACAGAGTTTAATGAACATGAGCTGAAACAGTGGTACAAAGGCTTCCTGAAAGACTGCCCCAGCGGCCGGCTGAATCTGGAGGAGTTCCAGCAGCTCTACGTCAAGGTTTGTGTGATCTGCACCGCTCTCTCGCTTTCTCTCACCAAAATCCACGCTGGTCAACTCACGACACACCTCTGTTTTCAAACGTGCACAGTTCTTTCCATACGGCGACGCGTCAAAATTTGCACAACACGCCTTCAGGACCTTTGACAAAAACGGAGACGGCACCATTGATTTCCGAGAGTTCATCTGCGCCCTGTCCATCACCTCCCGCGGCAGCTTCGAGCAGAAACTCAACTGGGCCTTCAACATGTACGACCTGGACGGCGACGGCAAAATCACCAGAGTGGAGATGCTGGAGATAATCGAGGTGAGGGATTATCGAGTCGTTAAGCCTTTACCCATCAGGGGACTGGCTGCGTTTTGTCCATCCGTCTGCTGCACACCTGCAGAGCAGCAACATCACACACACATCACACACACACTCGTACACACAGCGCTTCATTGTGGCAAAGCTTCAGCTATATTGGATATCTTGATGCTATTTTAGGGAACACAATCTATAAGATGAATCTGATCTGTGTTGGTGATTTTGGAGAGTATTGACGAATCCAGCTGGGATAAATATAGTGTTTTATTCCAGTCGTATAAGACACACCATGTGTTTTCGCAAATTAAATTTAGCCTTTAGTCTGCTGTTTTTACCCAGTTGTTTATATTTCTGCAAGTCTGTTTTGTCATCAGCTTGGCACTTATATTTTTTACGTTAGGCAGAACTTCATTAATTATTTGCGGATACAAACATGTGAACCAGCGGTTTGAAGAAAGATGGGCAGCTGAACCAGAACAGCACCAGAACACAGGGATTTAGAAAACACATTCTGATTGAAGTATAAATACAAAGATAGTATCGGAACAAGGTAAAGGAAAGAAGAAGAAATAAGAAGGACAAAAGCTTTGATTTTATAGAAATTATAACAAAATTTGGAAGTTATATTTACCAGGTAGTTATGAAAAAACAGCAAAGTGGAGTCTCTTCTTACCTAACCCTACATGTTTGTCTTTGTGATGGTGGGACAGAAAATTTTGTCAAGGCTTCACTCCTAAGTCAGTTGGAAACACCAAAACAAATTCCTGTGTTGGGAAAATAACACTCATAAAATAAGTGTTCAGCGTAGCTCTTTGGCAAAAATGTCAAGTTAATTTCAAAGCATGCAACTTGAACAAAAAAATTTATCTTGCTCTTACTTCCTTTTCATCTCTTCCCGTCGTCATTGTGAAGTCTGTTCAAAACGCAACGTCGTCAAACTGAGACGTGACATCATCATTGCTTTGAAAGTTACTGCACCGGGTTTTCATGTCAAACTATTTTTGTTCCAAAACTATTGAAGACATAAACTCCTCCAGCTGTGTGTCGGGGAATGGCGGCTGGACAGACTCTTCATTCTACAGCCTGTAGAGGAACTGCTGGCAATCCTGGAACTTCATGCTTCACTCCTGTCACCATGGAAAAGACAGGACGGTTTTTGCGCTTGCCTATTATGACAGAGTTAGCACATTGTTAGCATCCAATGCTAATCATCAAGTCTTTTGTCCAGTGGGTAAACTTTATAAATATCTGTGTTGCATACTTTTTATTCCCCAGGAAAGCAGGAAGTTATGTGTTACAATTTAGAAAGTCCTAGAAATTCTGATTAACTTTTAAAAGTCAAGCATATAATTTCCAAAAGCTTATGTTACGTTTAAATTTTAGGAGTCATGCTAATAATGAGTGTTTCCTAATATTTTATACTGCTATGATAAAAGATTATTTTATTTCAAGGCTTTTCGTCCATCGTTCACAGAAGAGTGAATAAACACGACAGAGATGAGCGAATGACTCGTGAAATTCAAGTCGAGTGACATCTTCATCGACAGTGAGCTGTTTTTAACCCGACCAGGATTTAAGGAACAAAACATTTTTTTAAAACTCTTTCCTCTGGTCCCAGTTACATCACCTCGCTTGACAAACTCTGCACACGTTTTATTTAAGCACGTAGGCCTCCGCCACATTAGATAACAAAAGCACACTCCTCGGCTAATTTTCGCACTCCCTCTCACCCGCAGGCGATCTACAAAATGGTGGGCACCGTGATCATGATGAAGATGAACGAGGACGGCCTGACACCGGAGCAGAGGGTAGACAAGATCTTCAGCAAAATGGATAAGAACAACGACGACCAGATCTCGCTGGAGGAGTTCAAGGAGGCGGCGAAGAGCGACCCGTCCATCGTTCTCCTGCTGCAGTGTGACATGCAGAAGTGAAGCTGCATCCCTCACCCCACCTAACCCTCCACCCCCCCACTCCCACACCCTCTTCCTGCTTGCGCCTCTTACTCTCTGACTCCCCCACACCCAGTCTGTATCCACACACTCTGGACAGCCGCACACGTTTCAATGTCTCATTAGGTTCTCTGCCATTTCCACAGGGGGAAGAAAAAAAAGAAAGAAAAAAAAGAGAAAAACAACCCATAACAACATAAAAGAAAAAAACTAAATGCTTGGACTATTTTTCAATGGACTCGCTTCTTGTGGTCGTATGCATGAGAATGTCAAAATGCAGAATAATTTTGAAAAATAGCTATAAGATATCACAGATTTCTATTTCTAAACATGCCAACGTGATTCGTGCACAGTGACCCTGTACATTCTCACCTCTAGCTTGTATATCAGTGGAGCACTGCATTCAGTTTTGTTTCTACAGTATTTAGAAATCCCCTTCCCTCTCCCCCGACCCCCAGTGTTCACCGCTGCAACTACTGTATGCTTTACATGATAGTAACAAAAACAATAATTCCTATGATAATTGTAACTGTCTCTACTATTCAGACTTGTTGAGCTCTCGGAGAATAGAAAGCGGCTCCCGTCTGTTCCAGATGTTCTCACTCAGTGGAACCGAGAAGAGTAGGTTCTTTGCATGCATATATTACGTGTCGAGAAAAAAAACAACAACAAAAAAAATATATATAATCTCTTACCTTTTTTGCATCTTTAGGTGGCTATAAAAAGACAAAAATCGGAAATTCATTTAGTATTGTTGCATGGGCTGTACAGTATGTGACGCATTCTGTCATTGGTTCACCCCCTGCCCTCCTCCCAGTAATGTGGGAGCATCCCCACTCCTCCTTCCCTCCCATTCGATTAAGCATTAGTATGTGATACTTGACTTGTTGGAAAGGTATTTGGGCCAGTGGCGCCCCAAAGAGGGGGGACAGGGGAGTCGTGGCCCCCCTCTTAAAAAATCCTGGCCTCCCCAGAGAACCATATTCATGTCATAGAAAGGAATAAAGTATCATCTTCTTCAATGAAAACATAAATGTAAAACCCAATAAATAAACCAAAATAAAATATATAAGTAGCTATATAACATATAGTAAATATATATATATATATATATATATATATATATATATATATATATATATATATATATATATATATATATCTTCTTTTTGTTTTAGCTATACCCCCTCCTAAAAGTTTTTTGGCCACCCCTATAAAAATAATCTGGGGGGCGCCACTGGTTCGGGCTGCAGCTGTGGATTGAAGAGCTTTAACGTCGACACGTTGTACCGTGTTTTGGCTTCGGTGGCTTGTACTGTATGTTGAGCAGAAATCTACTTGTGTGTGTGGACATGATTTTTTTTTCCCTTTTCTTTTGATCACGTCGTACTGCTGCCCTTTTACAGGAAAGGTCAGAATTCCCGCCATCATCAGGTGCAGTACTCCAATAATTGGCTTTTTTTTTTTCAGACCGCTTGTTTTGATTTAAACTTGAAGAAATAATAATAATAATAATAATAATAATAATGGTAATGAAAAAAGGGTAACTTTAACTTACATATCAACATGTTTACAGAAACAAAGAGCACTGCGAAACAAGTACCTTCTTGGCTTTTGGATCTGCTGCTTGGAGCTCGCTCTCAAGGCTTAGGGAGCTTGTGAGGGTGACTCCACTTCCAATGCAGCCAAAACAACGACAATAATAAAAAAAGCCTCATCTATGTTTACTGGACACACTGCATTCCTTTGTGTAAAACTCTTTTGTAAGGAGAAACTTTTTATTGAAAGGTGTCATCTTCTTATTTACCTGTCTGCAGCGATCATTAAAGATGCGGGAACCTCAAAGAGGCGTTTGATGGAGTTTCTTACACTGTGAAACGGCCGCGTTTGGTTACTGCCGAAATGTTTCTCTTTCCGATAGTTTGCACCTCTTCCCCTTCACCCCTCACCTCTCATGTTAGGCTATGCAAGCATGGACTGGGAGTCTGCTTGTTGTCCACTTGCACAAGTGGAAGTTGCAGAAAAAGCTTTTCATTGTTTTTTTTTTTTTTTTTTTTTTTTTTTTTTTTTTTTGTCTGGAACATAAATGAAGCCAACCCCCACATCTTCAGTAACTGCATTATTTCTACATTTTGGTCCAGATTTATTCCCCCCACCCCTTATTTTTGTCAAGTAAATGTTTCTATCAAATATGAAAACTCATTATAACAACTGACTGTATTCTTTTACACATGTGGCATGTGTTGCACCCAAACTCAGTTCTGTAGTGTTTGAAATGAATAAACCATCGACAGGCTTTTTGGAAAGACACAGGCTGGAAGGTGGAGTTACTGGGTCTGCACTGAAAATCCAAAATAAAGAAAAAAAAAAAACAACACTAAGACTGTGGATTGTTTTAGCCCACCAACTACAAGGAGAACCTCTTTTACCTTCCGTAAGTTTGTGAAGCTCTGTCAGAGCACATCAGTCTGAAAATACTATGTTGAGATAGGCTAGTTGTGAAGGCTATTTCTACAAATATATTCCTAACCCTTGAACCAGTCATCACTTTGTCCCGTTACAACTATAAAACCTAAAGTAATTTAATTTGCAACAAACCAATACAAAGTAGTGCATAAATATGAAGTGGAAAAAAAAACGATCATTCAAAATTTATAGCAAATAAAAATCTGAAACGTTTGGAGCTCGGAAGAGTCACTTTTCATTTCAACAACAGCTTCAACTCAATTTTGATCAGAAACATTCTTACAACATGACGCTGCCACCATATTTTAATGTGATTATTGGTGTTCATTTTTCAACACACAGAGTTTGGCATCTAAGCCAGCAAGGTCAATTTTGGCATCATTAGACCTAAGAAAATATTTTTTCTGGACACAGATTGAATTATAAGTTTGATTTTATTTACCAATTACTTCAACAAGCAAATGTTTGCGCTGGATTTCCTTAAAGGGCATCACAGTAAAGCGGCTAAGGTGTTGTGAGTACTTATGCAAGGCAATGTGTAATCATAGAAATTTGAAATGAAGCTTTCATGTGTGGGACCACCAAACAGAGTACAGCCACGGCTAAAGAATGCCAGAGCTAGCCCCGTAGGAAAAAAAAAATAGCCTTATACAAAGAGTTTGGACTCTCAGTCAGCCATTAAGAAATGATTGGTTTCTGGAGCTGTTGAAGTTTTAAATGTTATCCAATCTCTAACGTTTGTCCGTTAAGTACATGTAACGCGCCAGTTCGGCTAGGAAGCTTACCGGAAGTTGCCTGCGTTGCATTTGACCATCCTCCACACCGAAAAGAGAAGAGTCGAGCAGAATGCAGAATATTAATGTTAATTCAATGTTAGGAAGTGTGACCAAGGCGGACTGAAAGGCTTCGTTCACTTCCTCCGCTGCTGTTGCTAAGCTAATTCTAAAACGGCGAAGAAAACTGACGTCATCGTCACGTCTTCTGCTTCTGTACGCTGATTGGCCCGACTGAAATTCTACTGGAGAAACCCACTTCAATGGGAGAAAGCCCAGAGGGAGAAGTGAATATTTGAATCGAGCATATGAAGGCAATGACCAGGCTAGCTGAGAGCGTCTCAAGGTTCTTTTTAATTCAGCTAGCCATTCCTGTGTTTGTGTTATGCTTGTATGGATGAACACGAATGAGTAACTCTCTGCATCAAGTAAAATCCACAGGTGAAAGTGATAAAGATTTATGGGATTCATTGAAAATATAAATTTTAGGTCTCACAATTGTCTCCAATTTGTAACGAGTAATCGTGTTTGCTCTTTGTGTTTAATCCAGAATGGTCTGAGCGGTTTAGCTAGTGGGGAAGAAAATTTGAATGGTATACATCTTGGTGTTTTATTAATAAAATGATGAGGTTTTTAGATTTTACATGAACGTAGTAAAGAAAATATATAATGTAGCCTTACAATTTGTTATAGACTTCGGTCATTAGGTTTAAACTGGACAATTAAGCAATTTAAGAATAGATGCTAAAATCTAGAATTTAAAAACCTTTATATGAGAAGCAAGAAAAAGGACTACAGTGACCAGTTTTACCAGGAAGTTCCACTAATTAGCTAGCTAAAGTAAGCGCTTATACCTGATTTTAGGTAACTAATTAGCTAAAATCAGTGTACTGTTGAACCACAAAAAAGAAAAACACTATTTACCACAACAGTCTCTTGAAAACTACATAATTTAATGGGTGTTTAAGTCAGCAGCAGTAGGAACAATTGTTGCTATTTTATATGCAGTTAAATCAATTAGTTCATGTTATACATTCATGTTACACATTTTTGTGTAAAAAAGACAACATGGGAATGCAGTATTTGTGCTCAGTTATGGTATTGTGAGAGCCTCATGCCAGCCCAAATCAAGACCACCTGCTTTTCCTCACACAGCGCCAGCACAAGCAAGAGATCAATCATGTGGACAAAGAAAAAAAAGGAAGGTACAGAAGGTAAGTAAAATTCATAATTTTTAGTCAACAGTGATTAGATTCAGCTAGAACACACCAGAGGAGTATGTGAGGCGCATCTATAGAAAATGAGGAGGGACATAATACATAAAGACAGACTTTAAAATATACAGAAGACAACAAACCAAACATAATAATGTCTTCCAAGTACTTTATCCCCATATGATTGTTCATAAAGCGTTCATAAAGCTTTCACAATGCAAAATTCTGCAAAACTTGTACACAAACTGTGACACTAAGGTCACTTAAGTTCTTTGCTTTTCTTAGAGATTAAACATAATTCACAACAAAATAAGGTTTCATAAATATACATTTAAACACACAGGTTGAAGCTGTACTTCTTAGGTTAACAACGCCTTAAAAACACTTTTCTCAAATACATACAGGTAAACATCAAGTAAAACCATAGAAATACAGTACTGCCAGTGAGCGTTATGAGTCTAGGTTTCCATCGAAATCTTCATCTATATACAGAGAATAGAAAAATAAATCATACACCCAGATATTTATATTCTACTTATTTAAGTTTCATAAAAACAATACTTTTCAATAAACACCAGAAGATGTAATGACAAAGTTTAAAAGTTTTAGTACCTCCTTGGTACACAAACTCAGTACAAAAACGCTTTACGACCGTTTTACGTATGAAGAGCACGGCTGGTGTGTGTTACAGATCTCTGTCTCTGGACTGGCCGTCTTCTCGCTCAGGATCCCGCAGATGATGGATTTTGATGAGAGCCGATTTGGGGAGGTTGCTGAAAGAGAATCAACAGCTTTAACTGGTTGCCAAACATTACTGTAACAGCATTGATGTCACACCAGTAAAGCTTGATGGTGTAAACAAAGAAAAGTTTGCAGGGAAAATAACAGTTTAAACTACCTTGCTGCTGTAAGCAAATCATTATTTCCTCTGACGGTATGTAAAAGGCACAGTTCAAGTAGCCAATCTTTATTTAACTTCTACATCTGATTTACAAAGACAGAAAAAAAGGAGATCTGAAAGTAACAATCCAACCCCAGGGTATGACTTTTGATATCGCCAACATCTGTGCTTTTTAAAATCTCATTCATTAAAATACCGTTTAAATGAATGGTGGACGGGTTCAAATGCTTCTACAACTTAGTGATGGTTGAAACCTTAATACTTCCAGATAGAAACACCATATAAAGTTCAGAGGGTTGACGAGGCTTTAGGCTATTCCCAAATTATGCGGGTTTGCAATATCTTTTGCTGTTTTCAAACAATGACTGTTGAAAAATTGGGATTTTTGGGTTCGGACACAAACCTAAACTGGTCACACGCCCCCACTCTCACTGAGCCGCTCAGAAGGGAGATAAAACACATTTAACAAGATTTACAGTAAGTTTTTTTTCTCCACTAGCTCTCTGGGCTTTTTTAGAGCGACTGGAAGTGAATTTCTATGAATCTTAAAATCAAATTATTCAGCAACTGGTTGTGCTGGTTTCACCAACTCAAATTTAAGACTTTTTAAGACCACGATGAATGGAATTTAAGATCTATATTTCAAAAGAAATGTATAAGCTCCATCCAGCCAGTTTGCAATAAATTTGCTCTCACCCATAACAGACGCAAACCAGCTAGCTAGCTAGTTAGCAAGGATATGTTAGCAGTGAGTCACAGGAAGCAATGAACTGAGTCTGAGTGACTCAAACGTTTGCCTGACAGAAAAAAATGCATAGAATATACGCAATTGAACAGCCCTGCCAAGACAAAATTTAAGACTTGTGATTAACATATTTAAGGCCAACTTACTTTTTAAAAAGTTATTTTAAGACATTCTAAGGCCTTAATTTTAGATACATGAATTTAAGACATTTTAAGGACCCTGGTATATGTGAAATAAGGCATCACCTGGTGTTCAGGGGAGTAATGAAGATGAACTGCCGAAGGTGCTGCCGCTCTGAAAGCTCCAGGAGGAGGTCCAGACAGATCCTCCTGTTGTGCATGTCCTGCAGAAAACAGTTTTCACATCAGCCGAGTGTTCAAGCTACCCCCCCCCCCCTTCCAAAGACCTACACACGTGTCAGTGTTTTTCAAATGCCTTTTATGCGCTCACCATGTAGACGTCGAACTCGTCGAGGCATCTGAACGGTGATTCTGTGATCTCCCAGAGGGAGAGCATGAAGCAAACGGTGGAGAAGGAGCGCTCCCCACCAGACAGAGACCTCATGTCACTCGCACCATCTTTGTCCCTACCTGGAGGCTTCACCTTTGGAGTAAAACACAATTAGCCATTACTCAAATTGTATTTACTCTTTTTTTTTTTTAAGATTTCAGAGACCTAAAGGTAACAGACTCCTTGTCTTAGAAGAGTGAATTATTCTTGAACGCAAGCGTCTTTATTTTGTACAACTTGGTTTTTGTGTAACTGTGCATTTCAATTTAAATACGGCTCAGACAAAATCACAAAGTCTCTCAAAGCTTCTGCTGCAAATATCTTCGTAAGACAAAATTAACATACAAGTAACTTTTCAGCAAGAAATAAGAGTTTGTTTAAGGTCACCAATTCCTTAATATCAATGTAAAAGTATTAGTTCCACAGGCAGATTATTTCACTTATGTCATGGGAAAAATGTCTTGTTATAAGTGAAATAATCTGCCTGAGGAACTAATACTTTTTTGAAAACCAAGCCAAAGCAGCTCTACATACGATGAGTAGCACAGATAAAGACGTACCGAAATTGAAAGTGTCTCGTTGTTGTGATCAAAGATCATGGCGCCGCAACAGTTCATCTTTATTAAGAAGTTATTGAAGTACAGCTTACACCTCACTGAGAGGGACCTTAGGGAGGAGAGGGAAGGAGGAAATTGTTGTTCTGTCACATAAAAGCCCAGTAGAATACAGTGGTGTGATACAGTGTTTGCCTGATTTCCCGTGGTTTTACATGTTTGTCATACAGAACATTAAACCAATTTAAATATTAGTCACGTAAACACAAGATGCAGTTTTCAAATCAATCAAACAAAAAAGATTGGCCCCTCAGTTAAAATATAACTGTGGTTTATTACACCTCAGGTCACTTTTTCTAGCCACAACCAGGCCAGATTACTGCCATACCTGTTCTCAACCAAGACATCACTTCAACTAAAGTTAAAAATAACTTTAAAACTCGGTTTTCCCTTTTAGATTTTTAGGAAAACATTCTGCGGACTGACGAGACCAAAAGTTGAACTCTTCAGAGGATGCTTGCTCCGTTACACCTGGTGTGAAAGCAACACAGCATCACACCAGCAGTAAAACACGATGGTGGTCATGTGATGGCTCTGTTTTGGTGCTTCAGGATCCAGAGGACATGCTGAAATAAATGGAGCCATGAATTCTGCATCCTGAAGAAGAACGTCCGGCCGTCTGTCTGTGACCGCAAGCTGAAACAAACTTGGGTTCTGCAGCAGAACAATGATCCAAAACACACCAGCAAGTCCACCTCTGAATGACTGAAAAATGAAGTCAAAGTCCTGACTTCATTCTTCACTTGATAGTTGTTGCTGCTATGAGTGACCCAACAGTTATTAGGTTTAGGGGCGATCACTTTTTCCACACAAGGCCAAGTATGTTTGGATGTTTTTTCTCCCTTAATATTAAACACCTTTACATGAAAAGTGTTTTCTGTGTTTACTTGTGTTGGCTTCGACTCCTATGTAAATTGGTTTGATGTTCTGAAACACTTTAAGACAGCAAGTCGTGAAGGGGGCAAACACTTTTTCACACCACAGTAAGATGGCATTTATAAGTGTAAGATAACATCTGAAATGGTGATGGCTGCTTCTCTACCTGCGCATTATTTTGTATCTGTTCTGCCTGTCTGACATGATGTTGTTGAGCCGGTCGATGAACTTGCGCAGATCCCTCACTTGGTTGGTTTTCTCTTTGTAGAGCGAGAGGGCCTCGGCGTACTCCCTAACGAGGTCAGAGGGAAGAAGTTGGCATGGCGTAAATATTTCTGACTTAAACTACATGAAACCAGGGCACAAGATGAGTTAGGAATAGCCGAGAGGCAGATCTGATTAAGGTACAAAGGAGGCTCAGCAGAGGTTCGGCCGATCCAATGAGACTGCTGCTTCTATTAATGCTCCCTCTCAGTTTGGCTTTTTTTTGTCTCCCTCTTGTGCATCCCAGTTTGACTGTCTTTGTTTTTTGTCAATGTGTGCATTACAGCTGCTTCCTTTTCCTCTTTACGCTGATGATCTCTTTCTGGGGCTTCTCTCGTTTCTCTCTTTACTACTGCATGTGACCCAGAAATGGGTCAGAGCCCAAAATCCTGAAGAAAGTCCTACTTCCTAAAATGCAACTGGAGGAGAGAGGCACGAGGCAAATGAAGACGTGGTGGGGAAGCTATGAGTTGGTATCGCTACCATTATGTACAAATACACTGGAATAAAAGAGGTAATGGTTCTGAACATAGCTGTCAATTACTAAAAGAAACCTGTTGCTTCCTGTCGTCCTTTATGACGTCTTCTGACCTATTTCCAATAACCCAGCTGTGCATACGTTTGTTTTCGTTCACCTTGGACCTTATGCAATAACACTTCTGTGGATTCCTTACAGAAACATCCAAGCGCATGAAAACGTCTGTACTCAGCACATCTTTCTACGTCTAGTTTCCCATCGATGTGGCAGCAGAGACGTTTTCTGATTGATCCGTGCTGGTGACCTCTCTCACCTGATCACCAGCTCCTGCTCGCCGTGGTTTCCCTCGTAGACCTTCAGCTTCTTCTTGAGCCGCGTGATTTCTGAGTCGATGCTCTTGGTGGTGGAAGTGACGTGCTGCCGCTCAGGGCTAATCTGCGTGGCTTTCTTCATGTTTTCCTGTCAACACGTCAGTCATGTTTGGTCAGAGTCGAGTCTTTACAGGCGAATAAGCCAGCTGTTAGGGCTGGAACGATTAATCGGGTATTGAAATAATCGATTTAGTAATCGATTAATCGTTAACTGGAGTATACAGACTCAAAAAAGGCACAACATATTCCACACAGTAATTAAGCCAAAACTGCACAAAATACATTTTGCATTTAAGATCAGAACATAAATATGTTTTAGCCAAAACTCGTCAAGCTGTAGCTTCACCCAATTCAAATTCACCGAAGGAACGTTACGTTATCGGCGACAAAATGTTGATTTTCTTATTTAACAAAGGAATTTAATTATTTGCAAAGTTTAGGATATGTCTAATTTTTTTTATTCAGCAGGATTTTTAATGGGAAAATCTGTAGAATGTGTAAAAAAAAAAATTTCTGATTAATTGTCAGAATAATCGATTACTAAAATAATCCTTAGTTGCAGCTCTACCATCTGTCTCTAATTGATGAAGTGCAGAGCCATGGTTTACTTGAAACAGATTGGAAAAGTAAAAAAGAAAAAAACAAAACAAGCAGAGTTCTCTTTACCTGCAAGTCTTGCTCGTTGCCTGAAAGTACGCTTTTCATTGCTTGGATGTTGCCCTCATGCCCTTTCAGCTTCTTCTCTAATAGTTTAAGGTTACGTTCATGTTTTACACACTCCGTCTCCAGTTTCAGCTGCTCGTCCTGGATGGCAAGAACAAAAAAAAATTATCTTTCTCACCATCAGGAGATCCTCGTGTTTAAATACTGGATGATAAAAGTAGCAGCAGAGAACAAACGAATGCATTACGACCACTGCCGGGGTGAAAATGTCAAAAATGTCAGTAATTTTTTTTTCACCTTCAGTGGCTCCATTTCCTCTAGCAGCTGATCGATTTTATCTCTGACAGAGGAGTACTTGGAGTCCGCCTCTTCTGATGCTTTCCGCTGCTTGTCAAGTTCTGCCTTTGCCTCCTGAACGGCTTGTTTTTCCGTCTCAATTTTCTGTTGGTTCTCCTGGGCAACTTCCTCCTGCGCATTGAGATTTCAGGCGTTAATCTGGGACAGCTCATCAACGTTGTGTCTGAATCTGACAGTGATAAAGCTGAGGGTCACCAAGGAGGAGATGTCATCACTTTGCTCCTCATTAGCGGTTTCCAGCTCACTTATTGCTGCCTTGACCTGGTTCTCAGAGGCCTGCAGAGCAGCCAAAACAGACAAATGATGAGAAAAAAAAAAAAAAAAAAGGTTTGAAGAGCGGGTAGGTAATGACACGGCAAAGCTAGATTTAAGAGGTGATGTTGCCTCATGCTGACCTGAGTCTTCTTCAGGGTCTTGATGGTGTTGTTCAGGCTGCTCTCCATGTTGACTATGTCTTCGCTGACGGAGTTCACCTGAAGCTGAAACCTGGACAGCTGAGCTTCGAGATTCTCCAGTTCTGACTCCAGCACACTGCAACACACATCAGAGGTTTTCTCTCGGTCAGCGACTCCGAACAGTTCAGACTGGACTCAAAACGAGTTCATTTCAACATCTCTAAAGCCAGACTTAGTTTGGGATCAGCGTCCGGTCAGAGGTGATGTTGAAGAACCTGGAGTTTGACCTTTTCCTTCATGCCATCCATCGAAATGCACCAGTACCACTGGCAGGTTAGGGTTTTTCCACCAATGCGGTTCAGAGTGTGTTCCTGTTCTGAATGAACTGATGTTGCATGTTTCCACAGAAAACAAAAAGGCTCCACATCATAAACTCTGCGCAAACCCAACATCACCTATGAACCAAAAGCAATAATAACGCAGCACGGCACCAAAGAACGTGCAGCGGTCTGTTAACCTGTCACAATGAGCAAAACATCAATTAATTGCACAATAGATGTAATTTCCATTTGGACAACAGTCGTTAAAGAGACGTTCCCCTTTCATGTCGTAAAGAAAAGCCGGCATGTTGAGAAACGCCACAAACATTTGACAACAAGTATGATGTCTGCACTGCCTGCCACTTCTGCCTGTTTTTCCTTCTGAGCTTAACAATTATTATTTTTTTGAAATGCAATTTTTTTTTACCGAGACTTCATAATACATTTTAACTATTGTTGTTTTGTTTGTTTATTTGGGACATCTGAAATGTTTTCCAGTGTTGAATATTCTTCAGCTGTTTTGAACTGGAACTTGTGGCGATGGAACGGCGTCAGTTCTGATGATCTTTGTGTGAAAATGCACAGCAGAAAAAAAGCTCTGGAGTCAAACTGCAGTCAAACTGGGGCTCATTTTACCTTCTGAGCAATCGCAGGTAATTTCGGATCAGGTTACAGTTCCTTCGACTGGTGATTTTAAACGAGGATTATGGCAACACGATAGCTGTAAAAGCTACTTAAGGGTTCGTGCTTTCACAAAGGGCAGCTGAGATATCCAATTGTGTAAAAACCTTTTACAGCAGTTTGTTTAATTATTTTATTTTACTCCTTTTTTTATGCTGCTGGAACCATTTCAGGATAACCACCTGCACTAAGGGAAGACAGAAACGGAGCAGAAAATTTAAGTGTGTAGAAAACCCCCCTGGTGCTGAGCTGATACTTTTTGGACAAACATTTAAATCCATTTTTAATATTTATTGAAGAGAAGCATAGACTTTCATGGACTCATAGATAGCTTAACACTCTAATCGCAGCCTTTATTAAGAGATTTTAACAGGTAAATTTAACGTTTTTAACTGTGTAAATTAAAAAATACAGATTAAAGCGATCACCACTGCTGATTTTAGGTTTGAATATGGTTGTTTTTACAACAAGTTACATCCCACGTGCTTTAAATATTCATGACCTGTTGATTATTACAAACTACCACTGTGTTAATACCAGTTTTAATTAACTTTTTGAGTTAAACCGCTATGACACGTCATAAATTATGTCTTCTTTAAGTGTAACTCAGATTAAAAAATCCATTCTGCAGACATATTTCCACACAGCTTGTAAGTGGAAGCAGGCGGCTGATGAACTACAGCCGCTACGAAGCAACCTCAGGTTAATCATATATTAGTCTGGTTTAATCATGCTGAATCTCACTGCTGTGTCGGGTCGGGATCTGTGTCCCGAGATCGCAGCAGCATTCTAGCAGCAGGAGGAGGAGTCGCTCTGACCCAGGGAACGTAATCTACATAAACGACCCAGTTCTCTGACCCCACAATGAAAACACACACAAAAGCAGCCCAGGTGAAGAAACGGTTCCTGGATATTGAGCTCCAAACAAAACAGAACAACAAAAAATGCTGTGTCACGGTTAAGGCCTGTGAAACAGGCCTTAACCGTGACCAATATCTATGTGTAATGGCCTATTACACATAGACAAATATCTATGTGTAATGGCCTGATTGTTGGTTACATTCTGCTCATGTTAACTACACTATAAACCCCATCATACACCACATCAGAGTTTGTCAGATCCAAACTTCCTGCACTTTCTGTGTCGACAAGAATCGACAAACTGAACCAGTCCTGCTGTCTGCCCAACTGTATCTTTAGCTGGTAAGCTGAAAACGTTAAGCTACATCCAACGGGCACTGCGTCGTTACCTAGCAACCAAAGCAAAACCCAGCCACATGACGCAGTAACCCAAGCGGAGCTCCAGCCCATTTAGTCAGCTGGTTTTACCGCTGCATGCAGTGTACAACTTCAACTGGAAAAGACAGGTTTTGTTGTTGACTTACCATCCAGAAACCCCTTGCTGCATTCCTGTTGGTTGTGCAGGATGCTCCACTTCTGCTTTTCAAAGATGTATGGTTGTATAATTTCACATCTGTTTGCAGCCATTTTTATGTGTGAGTGTAAACATTGAGTTTGACGGTGTGGCCAGCAGCAGCTTATTTAAATTAAAAGTGAAAGGAGGCCCTAAAACAGCTCATTCTGAAGTGATTTCAAAATAGGCTGAACTGAGCTGACTAAAATCTCGTTATGTAAGAACGATTTTCTGGAAAAATATAATACATAACCTATCCTAACCTGTTCCAGGAAGAATAATAGGTCACCGTTAAATTTTATTATTGTTGTCCGTTTCCATTTCCTCTGGAGTAGCAACACAAAGTTGTAGTTTTGTAGTTTTATTCATTAACATTGATCCTGTTCAGCCCATAAAACAGAGCCGGTTTCAGGTCACGGTCCTTTCTATGACCCATTTTGACCTCCAAGGCCAACTGTACATCTAACACGTATTCTAGCATGAATAAACCCCAAAGTACTCACTGTATTTCCGTCTCAATATCTCCACTGAGGTATTTGGCCATGCTGAACTCAGAGGTGTAGTAGCGGTTCGGGAACACCTGATCTCCCTCAGCCGTAAAGGCTTCACGGCAGTTCTTTGGAGGCCGGCCTTTCTGCATGATCCTCCTGGCCTTGTCTTTTTCCTGTAGCCACACATTGATGCACACAGTGAGCCAGAAGGTGCAAAAAACCCAGAAACTAACATCTACAATCAGTCCAGACAGGCACCAACTTTGATTATGAGAATGGTTTCTATCCCCCTCATGTCAATCAGACAATTGACGATGACAGGAGTCGCCGATGTGATCATGTCCAGCACGGTTGGGTAATCTGGATGACATGCTTTTCTGGAAAGCGGTCAAAGAAAGAAAAAGAGAAGAAAAAATTTTATTCAATAGTTCTCATGAAATGCAAGTGGAGTAGAAACAGCAGCGGGTTCTTACCTCCCATGAACGTTGTAGAGTTTATCGGTGAAGGGGCTAACGACGATCTGCGGTCTGTTGCCCTTCGGATAGAAGCGAGACATGAGTCTCTGAAGGACTAACTCATCTTTGTAGTTGTCGCAGCAGAACGCCTTCATGAAGCTCCGCAAGCAGCACTCTACCGCCACGGCCAGGGTGGGATCCTTCAAACTGATGCAAGCCCCTGAGATCAAACGAGAAATGTTACGCGACACATCAACAGAGCAGTCTGTAGCTGTGGAGTGGAAGGAAAACGCTAGATAACTTTCAATATATTTTAAAAATAACAAAGTCACCTTTCCAATAAATCAACAGCGTCCAAGAATATGCAATGTCTGAACTATTCAAATCAGTGATTTGGTTATTGACTACAACAGAAATATTAACATATTAGTATTGATACTGGCCCAAAATGCTCATATTGTTGCGTCTCTAATCAAATCTAATCTAATCAAAGCATATAATTCATTAATATGCTTTGGTCTGCGACAGTGAGCCTCTGTCTTACGCGATTCTTTCTTTCGTTCTTTCAGTTTTTATATATATATTTTTTATATTAATCCCGGACGACAAATATAAAACCAAAACAACGTGAAAACGGTTAGTTACCTATTGGCCCGACGGGTTTCTTGATGAAGCTTCCTGCAGCGAATGCATCACTAATGGCAGCGATCAGGTCAGGAACATCGTCTCCAAACCGCTTGAGCTTGTTGGATCGACTGGCCAGCAGCTGGTTTTTTCTCTTCTGCTTGGACTCGTAAGCAAACTGCACACTCTTTGCTTCAACTCTGGTATAAAAGAAGGGTTTTTATTTACTATTTTCAAAGGGATGAATCCTGCCTAGCCACGAATAAAAAAAAATGATGAGACGCAGGAAGTATTTCTCGTACCTTAGCTTGTCCCGTTCTTCTTTTCCTTTCAGGAGTGCCTGATGTTTCTTCTTGATGTCTTCGTTCAGCTGCGAACACGTCCTCTTGAGCTCCGCCAGCTGCTCCTGCAGCTCACCCAACGTCGCCTGTTGTCTTGAGCGTCTGGTTTCGCCGCTGTTGTTCAGTCTCTCGCTGACGGCAGAGGAAACATTTCAAGTTGCTGTTTGGTCTTCTAGAAAACTAAGCCAATAAATACACTGCAAAAACACAACATTCTCACAAAGACACTTTTTGGTCTGGTTTCTAGTGCAAATGTTAGTGCATTTGAAATGCGGCAAAACTGACTTGCAAGTAACTTTTCAGCAAGAAATAGGAGATTTTTTTAAATTAAATAATTAAGTGAATAATCTGTAAGTGGAAAAAGACATTTTCCCCATTTTATAAGCTAAAATGTCTTGTTCCAGACTTGTAACAAGCACTTTTTCATCAACATTAAGGAATTAATGTTGATGGAAAACATCTTGCAGAAAAGTTACTTATAAGTTAGTTTTATCTTGCTTCAAGTGTGCAAAGATATTTGCACTAGAAACTGAACCAAAAATACTTTGTAAGATTTATTGTTTTCGCAGTGTAAGATGTCTGAACACCTCCACACCTCGCTTTAGCCTTGTTAATTTTCTCCTGGAGAAGGTTCTGCTCGCGTTCTGTTTGCTTAAGTTTGTTCAAAGCCCGGAAATAAACAAGCTGTAAAAGAAAACAAAAAGTAATAAAATAATTTTAAAAAAACACACATAACCCATCTATTTAACAGAATCATTTAGAAAGTTGTAAAGAATACCTCCTGCTCCTTGTGAGCTTTGTTAACAATCTTTGCTTGCTGTTTAAAGTTGAGATTATCCTCTTTGAGCAACTTCTGCTCCTCTCTCAGGCTGTCAGCCCGTTTTTTAATCACCTGCAGCCTTTTCTCCATTTGTGTGAGCTTTGACTGCAAGAAAGAAAAAAAATAAGCAAAAGTTGCCCGATAAAACCAAGGTACATTTATAAACAGACTTGGACAATCCAAATTAAGGGGAATAACTTGTTTCACACCTGACAGAGATGCAGGTTATCTTCATGTTTCTTGTCTTTCTCTTCTTTCTGAATTTCCTCCTTCAGCTGCTGTATGGACTGCTCCTTGTCCCTGACCTAAAGGTGAAAAAAACATACATGTTTATCGTGTTTAGGTGCAACAGCTTGTTAAACACTGGCTATCCAAGTAAGAACGACAGGCGATGACATCCTGTTTGATCTAGTTTAAGTTAGTTTCTTGTTTTCTTTCAACAAAAACTTATAGTCAGAAAAATAAACATAAATTAGTCCTAGTCAAGATTCTTCTTTTTTTCTTTACAGGATAGAAAGGTTTACTAGGTAATTTACTTTTTAAACACAAAAAAGTCCTTGGAGTCACAAAGTTTTAAAGCAGAACAAGAATGCCATAACTAGATATGATATGAAAGTACAAAGCATGTCTATCTGTTGTTTTTTCTTTAAAAAAATAAATAAATAAATCTCAAGTGGATGTTTTGCCAATTAACAAAACACAGAAAGTGGGTGGTGGGGGTTGTACAATTGTTTCCAAACATCTTTACGCAGGAAAAAAGGCGGACCTTTCCTCTTTAAAAAGGTGGAAGAGACAGACTTTTTATCAAACAAAAAAACAACAACAAAAATAAACAACAGTCTCTCTGTTCAAAATACATCAAAATGTATCAACTTTATGAATCCCCTAATCTCTTAACTTCAAGGTGAGGAAAAAAAAAGATTGAGGAACTGGTTAGCTCTTCTGATGGATAGCTACGACGGATAGCTCTAGCACTGAATCAGCAGCTACATTATTGAGGCCATTGTTTGTGAGCATAAAGATTTTCAACTAAATGAAAAACTAAACTGAAAATGTGTTACAGAGCAGGGTTTTCTTTAAGTACAGCCACTGCAACAGTCATGGAGAAAGTTATTAAATTAAATCAATAACCGCTCGCTCCAACTGATCCTCCTGCATATTTACCTACGATCAAGACCTACAGAAGCAAGTCACTGTTTTCTTAATCTCCAAGTCAAAGCAGCATTTGACTGCAGCTGTCATGCATGTGTTTGTATAACAGTATTTATTTTAACTTCCCTTGTTTTTACCACAAATAAAGAACTGGGTTGAAGAGACTTTTCTGACTGAAGGCGGGTCTTAAGAGTTTAGGTGATGAGACGATGTCCATGAGTGCAACACAGCAAACAGAGACTTTCAGCTGCTTCTATTCACTGCTGCTGTTTCATGCAAGATGCTTTCCTCTTGCTTTCTTTTAAACCGTTTTTACACACTCTTGACTTCGGATGAATATAAGTGATTATAACCAAGAGTCCCAAAAACAACCAGAAGGAGACATTGTCTGCTGAGCACATCGGCGTCAGACAGCATCTTACCAAACACCACGCCATTTGTTTCTTCAGGCTCTCCAAGTTCTCCTTCAAATCACTGAAAGACGACAAGCTTTCATATCGCTCTTTCTTCTGCAGGAACTCCTGCTTTAAGTCCTTGAGGCACTGAACACAAAACAAAGATGTACACATTTTCCTTCTTTTTTAAAGAAATATGTCACAGACATGCTAAAGTATCAGCAGCAATTAGCTGCCTCTTAAAACAGAGCTTACAAAGTTTATATAAATTAAGCTTCAAAAATAAGAGACTGGAGAAGAAAGGGAAAAATAAATGAATAGCTATTTTTATTGTACTCATATAGAAATCTATGACATTACTAAGTAGTGCTTCTTTTAACAAGTGTGTATTTTGCAGATAGAAGCTGATAAACAAACAAAAGGTGAACATAGAAAGTGAAAGAAAGATTATGGTACGTTATAATCTATTAAACGTCTTGATTTAATACCTTTTTAGTAAAGATATAATGGAAATAGACTGGAATTAACTGAACTGAAATTAAATTAATTTGAACCAAACAGGATTCCATGGATATTTGGATATAAGCTGAACTGGTTTGTTCTGTAGATTGTACCATCACACCACGAATTTAGCTGAAGTAAGTTAAATGTACGTATTAAACCACCCTAAACTACGAGGTTTGAATGTTTTACCATATTTTTGAACTGCAGAATAACTTCATAATTCAGGGACATGAATTCATTGATAAATATGTGGATTAGAAATCAGAACATCCATCAAACATCTGGCAGATTTATCAACTCCAGAGTAAAAGAGCTTTAGGCGATAAACGCAGGTCTGTACCTCCTCTTGCTTCTCAACCTGTTGCCGTGTGATTGTTTCAGTGTGCTTGATGTGGATGTAGTCTCTCTTCATCTGCTCGAGTAAAGTTGCTTTCATGAAGAACTAGGAACGATAAAACAACACAACTTCAGCTTGAAAGACAAAGCTAACCCAGTGGAAACTAGAATCTGTGATCTCATAGCGAATGTGGCGTGGGACCTTGTATTTGTCCGACTCGTTTTTCGAATGCAGGAACTGTTTGCTCATTTCTTGGCTGAGAATGGACACTGGATTATCCAGCTGAAACACACACACACACACACACACAAAAATAGCACACGCTCCGTTTCAGAACCAGAACCACCGATTTTCCTTAATATCCCTTCAAATTCAAGGAAACATATAATTGTTACCTGGATGTTAAAATGGTCCAGAACTGCTACCAATTCTTCTTTCTTGTTTGAGACAAGTTGACCTAAATATGAAAGAACAAATAATAACCCCTTTAACATAATTCAAATCAATTAGAATTAGTTTATATTCGATACAGTAATCCACTGAAGGAAACTGTTGCAAAGACATTCAGAACAGAACAGATTCATGCTTTACCTACACACAATACAGTGTGTATAATGACATCTAGAGTTGAAGGAATGAGTCAATGGAATATCCAGTCCAGTTTATTGCTATATACACCAACTCAACAGTAATATTCAGATTACATTCAGTCTATAAATTGCTTATATGACCAAAGTAATTCCTGTTGATTGCTTCAAATCATTGATTTTGCAGGAGGCATCATAATATTACAATATCAGACAGGTCTGGATGCGTCTGTGAAGCAAAAGAATTACTGTACTTTCCAGACTATAGAGTGCATCTGAATATAAGGCGCACCAATAACTTAAAAAATGTGTAAATATGTAGGCCGCAGTTGCCTCTACGCTGCAGATATCCTTATCAAAAGCCTTCTAAAATATATGTGCCTTCTAACATGTAGACGAGACTTTTGATAACGAAAGACAGACTGAGGAAGTGTGTGATGAAGTGATTCTGGGGCTGAGTGCTTTTAATGCACAAGAGAAACATGAAGATAGCCATCAATGACTTTTCCTGGTAAGCTGCTGTAATTTTTTAGCTTTTTTTAAAGCAACTGTGTCCAGAAAAAGACATTTTTTCTGAACAAAGCACAAATAATATACGTATTTGTGTATATTACATGTCCATAATTAATTAAAAGCTTAAAATAAAAAATCTGTATAGCACCATTACGTGTAAATATCTCCTGTTACAACACAATATCAATGTCAATTTCGTCTCAAGGTAAAATTTGTCCTTGAGCTTGTGCTGTCTTCTTCATCACACTGCAGTCCAGCATTTCAAAATCCATCAGTAAAAATCCATATATTAGCTGCATCATTGTTTAAGATGCAGCGATCAAAGTGTGTAAAAAAAAAAAAAAAAAAGTAGTTGCTTTTGTCTGGAAATTACGGTATATTAATCCAAGCATGTTATTTTAACATGAAAAACCCAACTGGTACTTGTTGGAAGCTCTTTGTGTTGATAAAGCCAAAACTCAGAGGATTAAATAAATTTAACTACAATGTAAAAACTATCTATGTATGTGAAAAATCACCTGATTTGCTTTTGAGTTTGTATCCCCGAGATCCATCGCTGGAGATGCGTTGTTCAACGGTGATGTAGTCACCATACAGATCCTTTTTGTAGGCATCTGCTCCTCTGTTTCTCAGCTTTACAATAACATCTGCAGTACTAAGCAGACGAAGAGACCCCCACCCCTGCCATGACCTTCTGGACGTAAAGAAAACTACAGCAGCCAATCAGAACCATCATCAACTTACCTTTCTCCAGTTTTCACGAAATCCTTCAGCGACACTCCCCTGTTTGTCATGGTGGCCTTCCCACCGAGGCCAACAATCAAGCCGGTCAGAATGGCACTTTTTCCACCTGGTAATGAAAATACCACCAACAGAGAAAGGGCTAATAAATCAGTGCATGTAAAGCATGTCAAGCACAGAAGTGCAGGTTGAACTAGAACACAGTATGCAAAGTGAATGTTAGGCACTGAGTGTGATCATTGTTTACAGGAAAGTAACTATTTTTAAATGGATATAATTTATAACCAACTGCAGAGTAACTAATATGACTTTCTGTACAAAGAAATACTATTACTGTACTGCATATAAACTATGCAGTACAGAAAGAGCCTTTGTTGTACCATTTCGCTGTGTTACTTTTTATTGCTAAATTAAGCTTGTTGTTCTTCAAACATGGACCTTAGTGAGACTAAAATACACCTAAATGTGTAAGACACACCAGTTATAATTAGCAACATATCAAAGGGCGCTTAGCATGGACTTACTCCCATTGTTGCCCACAATAAAATTGACATGGGGCCCAAACTGGACTGGTCCAAAAGAATGGTGGCACATGAAATTTTTCAAAGTGATGCTTTCAATGAGTCCAATGTCCCCCTACAGTCAGAAGAAAAGACAAAATAGTCAACAGATAATGAGCAGTAAAGTCACAAAACACTTGAGTTTGGTTTTTTTTTTAAATATCCTACCGAAGGGGCAGGAGTGAAGATGTGTGAAGATAATCCCTGGTGATTTGTGTCCGTTGCATTTTCAGCACCTGCAGCCGTCACTCGCCTGTTCTTCAAAGTCGATGCATCAGTAATCACACTGGCTTTTCGCTTACTCATTTTGAAAGAGTCACTGAAAATGCAACCAAGCACATCAGGTTCAGTTTAAGAACATACACAGTTTCACCAATTTATACGTGGATTGATGCAAAGCTGTGAATGTTAAAAAATAATGCCCAGTTTTGAATGTGAATACATAGTGTGCTTACATTATGCTCAGGAATTAATATGTGTAACTGGAACTTTCTCTGAGGAAATGTGAAGAACCTTATTGCAACAGGAAAACTAAGAAAGGAAAGAGGTGACAGCAAAGTTTCAACTAAACTGCATAGAAATGTTCACTTCAGCTCTGCTGCAAGTTAATATGCAAGAATACGAAGCTACTACAAACTTTCGGCTATAATTAGTAACACAAGCCAGTCTTCCAAACTGAATCTGTGAGAAAAGCTAAAACGAGCGGTCTGTTATGAAGCAGGAAGCCGTGGCTTCTTAAAGATTCACTCAAATGATGAATATCGCACATGTGCCTTGAAAACAGCGGTTAACTAAGTCAGTGTTATTCAGAGCAGATGAAGCTGTTTGTCCACTGCACACGAAATATGTCCAAGCGCTAAAACAGTCAGCATAGCAGCCGTAAAGCGAAACAAAACACAATCACGGGAAGAAAGGCTTTTACCTTGTTTCAGCCTGTCCTCGATTCCTAAACAAACAGTAGAAACACACTTACCATCATTCAGTACCCTGCAGCCGTCCACAATAACATGGGGCCACGGAGGGCTGTTTCGCACTTCCTGCTCGGACTGAGCGAAGGAAACCACAGCAACACGGAACTCAGGGCGCGTCCCCTGATTGGCTGACGGTACACCTGCGTGAGTGCGCGCGCGCGTCTGAAAACAAATAGTTTCTTTGTTTGTTTGTTTGTTTGTTTTTTATAAATTAAGTGTTGCTATATAAACCTGTGAGCCATAGACATTTTAGAAACTCAGGATGCTATCAAAGTATGTAAAAAGTGACTTCTACAGCAGCCTGATGATGACGTACTATCAAGCTGTCAAACGAAGCCTTTAAAAAACCACGTGAGCATAACGCAAGTCCAACGAGAGGAGCAGGATGAAACGATCAGTCAACAACAATGAACATGGTAAGGCAAGGGTGGCCAAACATTTTGCTACGAGGGCTAAAATTGTCAAGTAGAAAAGTAGTACTTGAGGCCCACAAGTACCAGTTTTTTGTTAATTAAAAATGTAAAAGTAAAATTATTTTAAATATGTTTAAATTTCAATAAGCTATGAATGCAAAATATGAATGAAATTAGCAAAGCAGTCCGATTGCCGAAAAACTGGTTTCTCTATCAAATCAATCATATCGAATCAATATAAAAATGACTTGAAAGAAGGTTTCTCATTTTTGTCCAGAAAAACAATCGTGTAATGCTAGAACTGGACATGTACCACTCTGTCTTTAGAAAAGCTTGATGGATGGGTGTGTCCAAGTTTGCGTTTGACTAAAAGTTTATCATTGTTTGTGGTCCAATTTGCATTTATTGAAGTGGAAGCAAAAACATGATTAAATAAAGGGAAATGCTTTGATAGTTGATAGTTTCTAAAACTATCAATTTTAAGAAGTTTTTAATATGTCTGTTTAATAATACAGTGCTTCTCAATTCCAGTCCTTAGGCCCCCTTCCCCTACATGTTTTAGGTGTTTCCCTTCTACTCACACCTGGATTGAATCTGTGGGTGATTAACGGGCTTCTGCAGGACAGTCATGCAATCATTTGAATCAGCTGTTCTGGAATAGAGGCACATCTAAAACATTCAGAGCAGGGGGCCTGAGGACTGGAATTCGAGAGCACTGGTTTAATAAGTCCTATTAAAAATATTAGCTATACTATAATTCCAATTAAAATGTTTCCAAACATGTTACTCTTTCTAAACTACCTCATCCTAAAGAAATATTTTACTTTTTACTATTTAAAAGCCTGTGTGCTTGCATAGCCTCACCGTCTTTAAGGAGACAAAATACAGACAATCTGGGTTGGTGAGCAATGGCTCAACAACTGAATTTTCAATGGGTCATATTTCTGTCAAAATTTTGCATAGCTTAGTTATTTCAGGCTAATTTAAGAAACTAAAATGAAAATATTAAATTTCAGAAAATGTCATGGGGAATTTGTTAAAAAATTAGAAAATTTGAACCATAGCCAATCTAGATTTAAAAAATACAAAACAAATGACATCAGTTCAGGTGTTTTTGGTATCTGACAGTTTTAATCAGAAATCAATTGTGGAAAAACTAAACTTTTCTTTTAGTTCAAATTTAGTTTGTTTTAAAATGAAATGTGATACATTTATATATGATCAGTGTTTTTTGAGTTTACAAGTACAGTCTTTTTAAATTCTAAAGACAGAAAAATTTATTTTTCACACTGAGACGGTCTCTTATGCACTGTTAAATTTAATCAAATTTGACTGATATGACTATAAGCTGGTATTGCTACATGCTCTAATGTATATGTTTTTGTATCAACAGGATTCGATACATCATCAAAGCCTGAAGATCCAGCGATCTTGCGAGTGAATGCACAAGCTTTTCAGTATTTCCTCTTTAGTGTGCAAAAACCCATCAGTCCCAAATGGGCTGTTGCTGCAAGAAGAGACTTCCAGAACTTTATGAACTTGGACTCTGTTTCTGGTCCTGGATTAAAATATGTTAGGAATGCTGTAACATCTGAAGCTGACCTGGAACAGAATGTGGTAGATGTTGAATCTGGATCCAAGAGTCTGCCTAAGCACCTGGCTCAGTCTTGTGATCTTTCTGAAACTGGGAATCAAAGCCCCCCAGAAGTCCCAGTAGATGAGTATCACTACTCCACACACAATATTAAAGTGGGTGGAGAAGAGAAGATTCTGGTGACATTTTCTGAATCGGTCCATCACTTCTACTGCCAATTGGACAGAAATTTGCACATGTTGGAAAAACTCTGGAAAAGTGTTGCACTGCTACCTGGCAAGCATCAAAGCTCAGATTGTCCACTTGGACCTAATAGCATTTGCTTAGCCAAGTATACTGATAATCAGTGGTACAGAGGTCTAATAGTGGAAAGATTCCCAAATCTCAAGGTGCACTTTGTTGACTATGGGGACACCCTTGCTGTTCTTGAAACTGATATTCGCCCCTTGCCTCCTGAAGCAAGTATCGCCAGGTCTGTTCCTGTTCAGGCTGTTCCACTCGGACTGTTCAATGTTCCTGCAGATTTATCACTTAAAATCAACGAGTGGTTTGCCTACCATGCTGTAGGGAACAATTTCACCATTTCAGTAGCGGCAAAAGGGAAGAAGGGGAAGCTGCTGGTTGAACTATTTGATGGATCACTAAATGTAAATGCCTTGGTCAGGGAGAAGGTGACAAAAATGAGACGGCCAAAGATGACCGCTGTAATTTCTAACACTGATGATGAATTCTCCGTCTCAAAAAAGACTACTCTGCCAGATGAGGATCATGCCTCACCTGAACTCACCAGATCATCAATGTTAAAGAACACTGTCCCAGAAATGCAGGAAAACAAGAAAATGTGTCCCACATATGCCTCATCACCAAAGGCGGAGCAAGTGAAGGATTTGGACATCATTCTTGAGAACAATCAAAGCAGGACGGAGACTTTAAATCATAGTCTCAACAGCAACTTAGAAATGACTCAGTTTTCATCCCACAATTACCCAAAGCAAAATGCAGAGGGTTACAACTGGCCAAATATTTCCCAAAATATGTCTGTGGATGCATATGCTTCTTGTATTTCAGGCCCACATTACTTCTGGTGTCAGCACGCCAACACAGAAGACCTTGACAAAGTGTCATGTCTTGCTAATGAGGTTGCAAAGGCACAAGACGTAATTTCACCTGAGCATCTTAAACCTGGTGTTCCCTGCCTTGCTCTACTTTCAGAAGACAACAAATGGTACAGAGCTCAAGTAACTGAGAACTCAGACAATACAGTCCATGTCTTGTTTGTTGATTATGGCAATGAATGTGATGTTGAGAAAAAAGATGTAAGATCGCTGTCTCAAAACCTGCTAGAGATGGCTCCTCAGGCATTTCTGTGTCGTTTGGATGGTTTCATGGAGTCCAGTGGCTTTTGGGATAATGAGGTCTACGATGACTTCTACAATCTCATAGTTGACAAACCACTTAAAGTGACAGTTGTGGCTGTAGGAAGTTGTTCAGAGAATGGTGTTCCTCAACACACCGTAACCACAGAATGTGACAAGATTGTGGTTAACAAGGTCATTCAGAAATACTGGAAGTCATTTTCTGGAGAACATTCTATTGTGGCAAAAGATTTTCAAGCCAGCAACAGCAAGGATAATCTTGGGCCCTCCAAAGAAATGAGTACTTTCACATACAAGCAGCCAGAAGTGTTCAAAACTAAAACCGAAATGGTGTACGCGTCCTGCATTGTAGAGCCAAAATTCTTCTGGTGTCAGTTTGCCAACACGGAGGATTTATGCGAAGTGTCCCAGCTAGCCCAGGAAGCTGGTAAGGCACAGCAGGACGTGACATTCCTTCAGAGTCTTGGACCAGGGAGCCATTGTCTTGCTTTGTTTCCTGATGACAAGCTGTGGTGCAGAGCGATGGTAGTCCAGAAAGACAACAGAACGGTACATGTTCTGTTTGTTGACTATGGTAACGAGTCAGACATTGACATCCAAGACACAAGACCTTTGCCTCAGAATCTTCTTGAGAAGGTACCCCAGGCCTTTCTTTGTCGTTTGATTGGATTTGATGAGTCTAAAGGCTCCTGGGATGACCAAGTTTATGACTTCTTCTACAAGCTTTTGGTTGATAAACCCCTTAAACTGACTGTGTTCAATGCAGAGAGCCATTCAGAGATGCCAGTTCCTCAGTATGCAGTGGAAGTTGAATGTGAGTTAATCTCCATAAATGCGTCACTGCAACAATACTGGAAACCATTTACAGAAGAATGTGCTGTGACAGAGAACCTTCAGACATCCAGCTGCTCATAAGGCAGTCCAACTCAAACATTCCTCCACTTTGTGTCTTAGTGGAATGAAGCATATCCAGAAGTATGATGGTTTTGTATTAATCTTTTGATTACCCTAGTTTCCTTAAGTGTCAGTTTGACTGCACAGAAGATCTGAAATGGTTGTGACTTGCAGTCACATCATCATCCAATAACAGACTAGTATATGCCTCTGAGGATTTTTCATCCCCATTTCTTCTTGTCTATTAAAACATTCACAAAACCAAATAAAGAAGTTAATGAGCAAATGAATTGAAAAGCCTGATTGCATTTTTTTCTGTTAGACAGACCTCAGATTTGATTCTGTAATTGGTCTTAATGGAATTATTTGCTTTTTGTAGAAAATTATTGAAACCTAAAAGATATAGTTCTGACAATTTGAAAGGTAAAACACATTTTTTCTTTAGTTTTTTAATTAAGCAAAGTGGTCTATACAGCATGAAAATGTTGCTATGCGTGTGTGTTTTTAATTGTGAATGCGCTTGGATTTTAAACCATTCCATTTTATCTCTGGCTGGATGCTGAAGATCATTCCACTGGAAAGTGAACCTTCACCCCAGTCTCAAGTCTCTTGCAGTCTCAAACAGGTTTCCTTCAAACATTGCCCTGCATTTAGCTCCATTCATCTTCCTATTAACTCTGCTCTGTCTCGGCTAACAGTTTTAGTGTTGGGATGGTGAGTTCAGGATTATGTGCAGTGTTTGATCGCTGCCACAGAGAATTTAGCATGCAGGTCAGAAATTTCAAATGATCAAAGCACTTTCTTCCACATTAATTCTCCCACATTAGATTGGTATTCTAAACCTTTGTCCCTCATCCTTGCAAGATCAACTCTTTTAATCTTTTAATACTCAGTTATATTTCAGCATTTTCAAATATATGTTCATTCATTTGAAAGCAAAGAAACTGCAAGTAGAATTTCCTATTGCTTTCTTAATCCCCTTGTTGCTTCTGTTAATTGCAGTTATTGTCTGGCCTATTGGTTATAAATGTGACCGTCCAAACATGTCCTGGTGGTTTGTGGGTCCTGAGGAGCGGTTTAGTTTGCTTTTGCTTTGAACCCACTCTGTCTGGCCCTACTGATTCTGCCAACTAATGTTCTCTAACTTCCAAAACCTTCACTAGATGATTTTACATAGATATTGAAGTACCCATGAGTGTGCTTCATTTATGTGGCTTCTAGAGTCAATTGGTTACATTATAGTGGGTGTCAGAGTAAAGGAAGCTAAATACTTTTTTTTTTCTATTTGCAAAGTTATCTTTTTTCTATCTCTTTACATGCGTCACTCTTTATTGGTCCATCATAAAACCAAATGTACAAAAACTAAAAGTAACTTATTTTTGTTACTTTCTCACTACTATGTAACAAAAATCTCAGCACATTAATGATCAGCACAAAGGTTGAACCTTTCTCCACAAGCAAAAATGTCTACATTTATACATTTTCTCTCAATTTCACATGTTTTAATGTAGGCAGTCCTACACTATAAGTCATTTAAAAGCGTCAGTCTTTTATTTCAGGCGCTTGTCGCGTTTCAAATGCGCTGTTTCCTCTGGTCTGTCCAGCAGGTGGCACTATTTCCTTTCTCGTGCTCAGGTGAAGACTCCGCCATTTTGAATTCAGAAGTCGTTGCTGGGCAACTCCAGAAAAATGACAGAGCTGCACCAAGTGGTAGCAGCGGGGGATTATGAGAAGGTGAAGGAGATACTGAGGAATCCGAAGTGCAATCCCAATAACAAAGACGTCGACTGGAGCTGTAAAACCCCTCTGCACTGGGCAGCAGCTAATGGTGGGCGTTTTAGAAGGAACTTCACCTTCTACCTCCAGGTCTTTTCTTCCTGCTGTCTCAAGTTACATTTGTCCTCGTTCTCTCTAGATGTACAACGGAAGAACTGAGACCCTTCTAGTTCTTTTCTCTTTTTCATGAAATGTATATAAAGATATCTTTTAGTATCTAAAGCTTGTCTTTTGTCTTGTCAACTTTAGTTGCATGTTAAACCCCTATTGTTTTGCTTTAAGATCTCAACCTATCAAAAAAAGAAACAATGCCTAGCACCTCAAGATGAAGACTGCCCAGGCATAACAATATGACCACTAAAAGGTGAAGTGAATTGTTAGGAATGCAGTATACATTAGATTTTTGTTAGTATGTAAGCAGTACACTCTTGAAAGTTTTTATAGATATACAAGTATATTTAATCCTTCACAAGCATTAAATATTACAGTGCATCCAAAAAGTATTCACAGACGCATCCTGATATTGTTTTAAGAGTAAAAGAAAAGTTACTATGAATACTCTGAATGCACTGCAGGACGGACCATCAAGCGGGTAAATTATGTATTTGATTGCAGATGAAATCAATATTAGAGATGCAGGAATGATAAAGACTCTTATTTTACCGACTGGCAGCAAGAAAACCCAAAGTTTTCCTTTGTTTCCCCTGGATATTAGAGTTTAAACATAATTTATGTTGCATAATAGTTTCACCTAAATGTCAGAAGTTGAGTTTAACTTTGCCACTGTAAATGTGCATTTTGGAGTAGTCTTTCATGCAATCACTGTTAATGCATTTTGCTGCTTGGTGGTTCTGCTTGAAAACAAGTTCAAATATTTTTGAAGTTCTTAAGATAGTTTTAATTCCAACTACAATCTTCAAACTGACTTGCCTACAACTAAGCAAATGTTTACAGTACATACCCTTTATTCGTTTTTTTATACACATATTAGAAAAAAAGTGCAGTAGGAATGACTAATTGAAAAACAAAATTACAGTGTTAGATTAATCACTGCGCTCCATAACACCCAAAATAGTTAATGAAAAGGGTCTCAAATTTTCTAAAGTTCTTCTGCTACTGCTACTTATATGGGAACTGAATTTGGTTATTAACAGGGACAATGATATCTGTCAGTCTTGTGTTGCATTTACGTCCTTCACAAACAGGTCATCATTTTATGCTACAATGGTTTTGATTTTAGGGGTAATTTTAACGCCAAGATAACTTTAGTTTTCATTTACACTGATAAAAATGGTTCTTAATGCAGAATTTTGCCCTTCTTTCAAATTGAAATGGTATGGAATTACTTTAATCTATTTAAATAGTAGTCTAAAACCTGTCCAAATGAGACAGTCTGGTGTATTAAATACAGAAAGGTTTAAGAAAAGGATAACAGAATCAACCTGTAAGATTATCCTGCATTTTAGCTTTGTCCACATAAAGGATAAAGTGTGGTTTAATGTTTTCTAATTGCTACAAATGTCTTGCTTTCATTTTATTTAACCAATATCACTTCTCCAGCGGCTGGCGAAGTTATGAGATTCACCGTAAAACCATATCAGTTTGTGTTTACTGGACCAGATTTAAACCTGTTTTTTTATGTTTTAGAAAACTCTGTATTGCATTTTTTTTTTTCAGGAGATACAGACATTGTCAAGATTCTCTTAGAGAATGGAGCCAATCCGTGTCTGAGGACAGTGCACGGATGGACCGCTGCCCACTATGCTGCAGAGTCCGGTCATCTGGCTGCGCTGCGGATGCTGCACACCTTCCATGCACCAATGGACAAAGAGGACTGCTGTGGAGACAAACCAATAAGACTAGCCGAAATATACGGAAAAGAAGACTGCGTTCGATTCCTTAAAAAGTATGACACACAGCCCACTTTTCACCTATTTTTGCTTTATTATGAACAATCTTTACAAAAGTTTCTGATTTAATGTTGCAAATCTTTTTAATATGTTACAGAGCAGAGCTTGAGTACCAAGACTTCCGTGAGAAACTATGTGAAGAAGGTATTTTAAATGACTCGGATACGGAGTGGTTACAGCAAAGCAAAGAATATGAAGAAGACATTGCTTTTAGAACGAGGAGAAAAACTAAGTCTAGACTCAGCTTTCACTAAAACATCACTTTGGCATGCAGGTCGAGTCTTTTGCTCCATTTCTCTTCAAATATATCAACTAAAACTTGAAGAATTCAATGTCAATCTGATCACAGCTGGTATTTATGTAAGCTGAGTTAACGCATTAAATCCTAAAGGAGCATACAGAACAAGTTCATGCGAAGGGTAACACAAAGAGGCTAAAAATAATTAACTATACATTTATAATTTTACCAACAACATTAATAAAAAAATCACATAAAAAAATTACGGACGTCGAGAGTGGACGTTTTCAGCATATGCTTTCTCCCAGTGGTTTTCTCGAGAAAACCATTTCTGGTCCAATCATCTTGTGATCATCTCAAGATCATGAGATGACTGGTGTGTGTTAAACCTGATTCCATCCTTCAAATACATGCCACATGTATTTGTACAACGGTACAAGCAAAGTTTGGTTTATCGAGATTAACTTGTTATCCCAAGAGAACCATCAGGAAATGAACTCGATTCAAGAAAACCATCAGGAAATTAACTCTATCTCCAGAAAACCAATGGGAAATGATATTGTTATTTCCAGAAACTGGAACATTAACCGGTTATCTCGAGAAAACCTTTGGGAAAAAGTATACATCCGCTCTCGGCCTCAGTAAAAAGTGAATGCACACTGTACATTTATTTTCAATGGCACAAAAAAGTGATACTAGTTTCACATGTAGATGAAAATGGTTTCATTTCTTCCATGTCACCTCTGACTTAGAGGTGCTTTCACTGACACTAGATGCTGGAGCCTGGAGATCAGAGGAAAGAACAAATGGCAGTAAGACATATAAGAGAAACAGCCGTGGTATCATGCAATTGTAGTTGCGGAGCACCTACTTTCTTCTTAATGTATCTCAGCAGAGCCTCACGAGTCTGTAGAAATTATGGTGAGAAAATCATTAAAATGGTTATCTGGCAGAAAAATGTCAATGATTAATCATGATAAAAGATGGCAGCTATCAGTACTGGCTTTTAACCATGTATACACCGTGTAAGAATTTCATGTTTTTGAACAACCTTAGTGGGCACCATTGCAAAATACTGAATTAATTTAATTTAAGCAAGTCAGCATCCCACCGCATTATCCTTGACAAAACTACCAGTACAGCGAATTAACCCATAACTGGCATGATATACAGTACCACCATGTTTTACCATGGGTACAGTTCTTGTTTTGCTGTGTTTGTGTGTTAACTTACTTTTCAGACTGGTGGTCAAAAGCTCCACATGTTATGGATTTTTTAGTCTGGTTAGAAAGGGATTTACATGGACTTTCTGTCTTGCATCCAGCATATAGGAAATTGTAATAAGAACACAACCAGTTCACACCAGAAATGTTTGCAGCTTCTTCAGTGTTACTGTTAAGGTTGATATGTTTTTGAACACTCTGGGTCTATTGCACTCTTCTCCAAATTATCATTTTGTGAGATTACCGTTTTTTTTGTTCACTAAAGGACGCATTACGCAAAAGAGTAAATGCAGTCCAATGACACCTAGACATTATGTAGATTAATTAATTTCAGGGTGTGTCCACAAAGGCAATCAAAGAGTCATTTTTTCAGTTGAATAAACCACAATATGTCACATTAAAGGTGGAAAATGTAGTTTTTTCCTCTAACATCTGGAATTTAAACAGGGGTGTATACACTCTAGTCATATTAGGTCTTAACATTGCTGTAAACAACAGCTTAGACACATTTGTAGATCACACTGTGTAGCATCATTGAGCTGTATCATTATCTGGCTAGTTTCTCATTTCCTTACCATTCTGTCTCCGAAGCATGTGGTCAACAAAATGAAGAAGCCCTGGAATTGAAAGAGAGTGTACTTGTATTTCAAATACTTCAGCTTGTTTATGTGTTACATTGAATAAAATATTTTGACTGTACCTGGAATCCGTTGAGTATGGTGAAGATGTATTCGAATGCATATGCTGCGATTCCGCTTGTGAGATCAAAAATCAAAATGGCAAATCCAAAGATCCACGTCACACCAAAAATTGGGGTCAGTAGGATAATGGATCTCACAACAGTTTTGGCTGCTGCTTTCTCCTTTTCTGGTGAAATGTCGGTTTTTTGGTGTATTTCTGAGTGGTGGCTTACGAGCTTCATGATAACCACAAGCATTGAGAACACATTAATGAAAACAATTGCTCCCACTGGAATGATAAACGTATAAAAAGTGCCTTTAAAAAGTCCACCATAAACCAGCCAGCAGGTCTTCCTGAAGTAATATACTCCCTCAGCTCCACCGTTGCAGGTAAGAAACGTGACAAAGACTATGATCAAGGGGATGGCGTAGCCTACAACCAACGAGAACCTCAGATAGTTTGCCCTGCTCACCTTATGGAACAAAAACACTGCCTGATGAAGAAGTGTGGCGCTCAAACAAAACGTCCAAAAGAACATAGCCAGATAGCAGAAATGCTTCAGCACCGCAGAGGTTCGACACCAAAGGTCTGAAATACTCTCTGGGTTGGAAGAAGATGCCAAAAAGCAGAGGTTACCGATCAGCAAGCACAGACAAATGTTCACATGGGCAGTGTGGCGTAAATATAATGTACTCGTCTTGACTACGTCGCTCCAGACTATCAGTTCTATCACAAGAGTGACAACGAGTGACAACACTGATACTGACAGAGCTACATAAGTTACATAAGTTAAACCAGGGACTTCCAGGGGCTCCTTGGACAGTAGCAATGCAAATGAGGAAAAATGCTTACATTCACATAGGCCCTCGTCTGAGGGACCCCCCCATTTACATCCCTCTGATGAAAACTTGTGGTTTTTAGTGTCCCAATACACACATTTTAGCTCAAAATTACGAGGTCTTGGTTTGATCATTTCAAACTTTATGGAAATGTCACTTGCGTTTTCTGCAGTTGCGGAAACAATGATACTGTTGACCTCTGATTTATTGTCAAGATGGGGCAAATATTTATCCAGTTGTTTGAATGCAGTTGTTTTCACATTCACTCCACCTGAAACTGAAACTGAGACATTGAAAACATTGATTTTGCAGTTGGATGTATTGCACAAATCCACTTGCAGATTTTCCCTCCTAGTCCCCACAGTCAGATTTGATATTTTAATTAAATTCTCAACAGAAATCATGAATCTCTCAGCCATTGAAAGTGAGGAGTTGTCAGTAGTGCCTTCATTCCATGAGTCTTCAAGACTTTTATTCAGCAAATGACTGGATGAGTATAGATAATTCTGAAAAAAAGCAGAATCACAGGTCATTTTCTAGAAGATGGTTGTGACATGTAAGAAGTGTCATTTTATGGCATTAGGAATTTGAAGTTTAGTGAAAACTCTTTAATTGAATAAAGATGCATAAATTATCTGGATTACTACATTGAAAAAGGCTATTTCTTAGAAAAAAACAATTGTTTGGTGACATTTAACTTTTTTCCAAAAAGCTTTGAGTTGGCTGAAAGCTTAGTTGGAAACTGCTTTATTAGCCATCATGGTTTCTTTTAACCTTAACACTGTTTAATATATCAGTGAATTTGTAATGAAATAAACCTTTTAATAAAGTTATGAAAGCATACTGATTATGTCTTAATTCATAAAAATCAAGATGCTTTGATACTCACTTCTATTGCTGAATCATTTGTAATAGTAGTTAAATTTAACTTTTCATTCATGGTGGTAAATACTGTGACCGATGTATTTATGTTGGCATAACCAGGTAATTTTAATGTCTTTGTGACCTTTACAAAGCGTTCAAATACTATTGCAGCATTTGACTCCAGTTTGCCAAGTCCAATGTCACTAATCTGAAAACACAATAAATATGAAAGTTATTATAGTTTATTCTACAGCAACTTCTTAAATCAGCAAGCTGAAGTATATTATTATACTGGAATAATTGATATAGTAACAATTGGAATAATTGTTATAGTAACAATTCGTATTTACAGTAATTCCATAAAAATAAAAAAGTTGAAAGAATATTTAAGTATACTGTACTACTCATTTCTGTACAATGACAGGAAGTTAATATGATAGTAAAGTTCACATACTGCAGCTGTTTCCAGCACACTAGCGAGGTCCTTTTCAACACATTCTGAAACCTCGTCACCCCATATCCCTTCCCGGCCAGTTTCCCTGAAAGTATTAAATGAACATTAATGAAACCAGTCAGCACAAAAATTAAATGTTATATATATGTTTCATTAATTAAATAAACCATAAATTGTGTTTTTCAAAGTTAGAGGAAACAAATGTTATCTGATAGTGAAGAGTTCAAATCTCACCCAGATGAACACTTTCGCTTTCTTGTTCCAGCTTTATCCTTGCATTTTATTTCTGCAGTAAAGCCGGCCTTGGTGTTTGCCCATTCACCTTCCGCTGAACAGTACTTTTCATCAGCTGTTTAGCACAAATTTAAAAAATCATTTAGAACAAAAACTATGCAGAGCAAAACTCCAACTTTAAAAATGTTATTGTGAAAAATGCAAAAAGTATCACATTAACTTTTAAACAGTTTCTTTTGAATCATAAAATTGAGGGTGATTTTGTATAAATTCTCTAAGCTGTATTCACTCCAGAAACTTGGACTGTATGGCTCTTCACTCTTCCTCCAAATTCCAAAATCTTGTATTTCAAATTACATGTAAAATTTACTTTGATTTGAAAGGAGGACTTTGGACCACTGAAAAACAGTCCGGTTTATTTCCTGCTTCGTCTCAGGCTCAGCATTTGCTGAAATCATGGCATGTGACAGCTTTAGCCCTGGATATGTGCTGTGACTCTTAAAGCTTAAACTTCAGCTGCCGTGCATGCCTTAGCTCTTTACCATAAACTCTTGAATGGGCTCTCAACATATAGATATTCATGTGGCATTTTTTCCCTCTATTTAACTTTAACATAGTAAGTGTGCAGACAAGACTCTATAGACAGCTAGCTTCTTTCGCAATTATCTTTTTCTGCTTAATCTCCTTGTGTAGGGTGTCACTGACTGCTGGATATCTGTCACCCAGCAGTCTTCTTCTTGAATGTCCAGACTGTGATGTGTTTCTAATATTTCTTTTATTAAACTTATAAGACCAGATGTCTTGAGTTTCATTTTCTGAGACATAATCATCAAAACACTTGAAATATATCAAGCAAATGTTCACATTTTTTAAATTGAAGTACCGAAATAAACTACATTTTTGTGATATTCTGAATTACTCTCAAAGTACTTCTCTATCAGATACATGACTGGTCAGAATTGATTACACTGAATTGAAAGTGCCCAAATGTTTGATTCCACTTGCATTTCCATCATTTCATAAGTTAAATGGCCTGTACTTGTGTAGCACTTTATCAAGCCTAAAGGACCCCAAAGTGCTTCACACTACATTCAGTCATTCATCCATTGACATGCTGATGGTGGCAAGTTACTGGATGGAGGCATCACCGGTTCCTCTGGGCTCTCTGGACACCACTAGCAGGCAAGACTAGTAGTGGTGTCTTGCCCAAGGACAGAATGACAGAGGCAGAATCAAACCAGCAACCCACCGATTGTGAGACAAACTACTACCACTGTTGCCACCAAATTAAAAAAAATGCTTTTTCATTGCAGTAAAGAACATACATTGTATCAAATAAAACGGCATCATTATCTCAAACTGATACTTACGATAAATGACTTCGACCTTCATAGATGCACCATAAGTTTGGTTGCACTCATTAGTAAAGTTGCAATATACCAGTGGAGAACCTGTGGAAGAGCTGTCCCCTCCTGACTTACAGTTAACTACTTTATCAGCTGAATAAATCAGTTTGTCTCCCTCTGTGAAAGTGACATAAACAGGACAAGTATTACAAGAATAAATTCAGTTAGGAGATGGTTCAAAACGCAAACATGAATAACGCTAGTAAAAGGTTCCTACCTGGAGTCATGGGTTTTTCAATGGCACCTTCTTGCCAGCTCACACTGTACGTTTCAGTGGTATTCTTTATCTCACACTTCACTTTCACAACAAAAACAGTTGATTCTGTCTTACACAAGGGAAATGCTGGATCTGCAGAAATGTCGATCTTTGGTTTGAGGCATATATCCATTGTAGCGTTGGCTTTATGGTTTATAGTTATTTGATCTTCTTGTTCAACAAAAAGACATATGTACTCTCCTGAGGAAGGAAGAACATGGAGGGCTCAAACAGAGGCAAAAGGTATGAAATATATTTCATGGGATTAGACAACCATTATGTGATAAATGCTCAGTCAACAGACTAATTTTCTTTTCCTGTTGTTTTCCAAGTACAATTCTGACAAATAACACTGTGATGGACCCCGGGTAAGTAGTTGTGCTGTATATTGCTGCTCTAAAAATGGTGAACACACCCCATTTCTCTTAACACTGAGGAGATGGATCTTTGCCCCACCACACACGAGCAAAAACAATGAGGATTATGACATAGACTGAGAGTTGTGAACTTTCTCATGTAAGTAGTATATTACTGATATGTACATGTGTATTTTTCATGTATTATTATTTCAATAATCCTGCTTATGGCAATAACAACACATACTGTGTTAGACCTTAGTCCAGTACTTCCCAAAGCTGGAGTCTGAGCTGTGAACCAAGAAGTATTGGCTCTGGAGATCCTCTACAAAAATGTTACGAAATTGAAAAACATAATAATTGATTAAGCTAATTTGTGTTGTCACTGAAGTACTATTTGCAAACTCATAAAATACCCTGACTCAGAAGTTGAAAGATTTCATAACCACTGCATTAGTCTATAAAACTGCATGATGTTTTTTACATGTAAATTCTGTTCTCTGAGGACAAAATCCAGTGGCTTGCAAAAAGGGGCTGATTGCTTTTGCACACTGCAATCAAATATATTGAAAAAAAATATGGAAAAGTTCAAAGGGTATGAATACTTTTGCAAGCCACTGTAGAAGTGCGTGTTTGGGGTTTGTACTACAGCTATAGGAGAGGCCTGGGGGTCCTCCTTATCATTTAACTCTGGAGGAGCTGCAGAAAATCCACTGCTCAGCTTGGATTTCTGACAGTACACTCCTCAAATATGGAGTTTATGAAGGAAAAATAAAATACATTCATTGTCCTTTTGGCAGTTTGACACAAGTCAAGTAGGAGACACTGGAAACATGTTTGGTGTCACTGGGCAGGTGACACCAAATTGTAACCTATTGCCCTACAGGCAAAATGCTGTTTATAGTGAAAAACACTTTTCCCCACTCGGAAACACTACAGTAGTATTGTCAAGCTTTTCTGCTAAAAGGGATAGATGGACAGAGGTAGATACACAGCAATAATGGGAGAAACTACAACGGAGCTGAAATGTTTTACATCAAAGCATATTCATCTGTTAGAATAAGGGATGCATGATAGTTATTGAACCGGTACAAGAAATTAAATTCTTATGTGTCCATTATCATAATGAATAGCATTGATAAAATGTTTGGGTGTTTGTCTTTTTTTTCCTGAGCACTTCTACTCCTCCTCCATGAGACCTGCACTGAGTTAAAGTGGTGTCAGTATAACTGGAGAAAACATTTTTGACTGCAAATAAACAATTTTAAAATTCGTCAGAAAACAGTTAAAAAATAATAAATCAACTATCCCAGAGTGTTACACGCAAACAAGAGAAATATAAACATAAAAGGTCCGAATGACTCCCAAGTTGGAACTTCCAACACCATGTGAATGCAGCCCAGGTAAACAGAGAACATAACAAGCGTAAGTTTGGAGCAGTGATTCTTAACCTGGGTTCTACACATGAATACAAGAACACAATGCTTGCTGAATTCAGGGTGAAACGATCCAGTTTTGATGAAAGGGCCACTCTGCCTGCTCTTGGATTTGTACCCGTTAACAAACCGATCCTTACAGCATCGTATGAAGTTTTGGGCAATATTCTGGTCCCAAAAAAGTATTTTGTGGATTCAAAATGACAAAAAACAAATTAAATTTAAAATAAAATAAAAAAATAAGTTATTAAAAATTTTTAAATTCTTTGAAAAAATCCAACTTTATTTTTAATAAGTAAAATAGTAAAAAAATATTTTGGGGGTTGAAATTCTTTTATGGGGCTGAAATATTTTGGGGGGGCCAGAATAAAGTAATACCGTAACTTGTTATGAGTTCATGGTTTTGTTCTTTGAGCAAGGTGATTTTCATGCATGGTTTATTTTGTGCACCAGTAAAAAGACATATATATATATTTAATTTGGAAAATAGAAATCATATTTTATTTATCACTAAAGAAGGGTTCAGTGAAAGCACATATGAAACTGGTGGGTTTGGTACCTCAAAGAAGGTTAAGAACCACTGGTTTGGAGGCTCTTTTAAGGTTTCGGAGGAAAACGATACGCTGACTTTGGTTAACAAATGTTGAGAGACAGTTTGGCGAGGACAAAAACAACACGACCTTTAACACGTCAAATCTGATCAGTCAACTTAAACACAAGCCATTGCTTTGGTGGAGAATTCAAAGTATTTGCGAATGCCCAGGATGCTAACGACGTTAGCAATAAGCCAGCAGGACTCAAATTCATTGGTGAAGCTTTTCACAAAACAAGGCATTTAGAACGAGAAAACTATTGGTTATTGGTATTGTTTTTTGTTTTTTTTTAAAGTTATTGTGTATCTGTATCTAGAATGGTCTAGTCAAAGTCAAAAGCTAAACACAATTAAAGACTTAAAGAATTGTTCACAGATACTACCCATTCAGTCTGACTAAGCTTGAATTGTCATGAAAGGATGACTGAACAAAATGACAATACTAAATGGGTTGTGAACATTTCGCAAGGTATTGTGGGCCAAATGATCTGAAATGTTGCGGTTTTAACAAACTTACCTTGCCAGAGTTCGCTAACATGTTTAATCGTGACTGTACTTATTTTTTCTTCGTCTTCCACTGTTGAGATGCTGCCATCAGTTATGAGAAACTCTCCATCTTCTCTTTGCAGATTCCACTTTGGTTTGGCTTTAAGCTGTCTCTCAGTTTTACAAATAACTAAAGTTTTGTCGTGATATGGCACTGATGTCTTTGATATATCCAAAGTGACAATGCCTGTGAATTTAAAAAGTTTACAACTTTAAAAAGTTTACACAGGAGTTTATGATCTTAAAAAATGAGGCTGTAATTTTTTTTTTCCTCTAAAATGCAACTGAAGAAAAAAAACTAGTCTGTTAAATAAAATTCTTACAATTTTCTTTTAAAGCTATAATAAAGAGGTAGCATTAGCATCACCCTGTAAAGTGATAGCTTATTAGAACACTTTGCATTTATTTCAGAATTATTGTAGGTTTTAGAAAACCTTATTAGCCTCATATAAAGTTCAGGAGGCTTAGCAGGATGGAAACTGGTCAAGGTGAGGGCTGTTGAATAAAGAAATGTGATAAAGTGATAATTTCAGGGTGTGTATACTTATGCAGCCTTCTTTTTGCACCATCTACTTTTAAAATTTATTTAGCACAATTAATATTATATAAAAAGTTGAAGAGGTTTCTTAAATAACTTTACTATCTTATTTTTCCACCATAGTAAAATTACATTTTAACTTTGGTGTGAAAGTCTTTAAAAAAAATCACTGTAAGTCATTGAAGAAACAAAACAGGATGTAAAGTTATTGTGAAATGTAACTTTAATATGAATCCAACCGGTGAAATATATAATTACCTTTAGTCTCCAAAGTCATTTTGCCTGTTAGAGTTTTTGTCAGAGCTGTAGATTTGTTGAACAGTTCTCCCGAACTAACGTCAGAGACGATCTTCATTGTAAAATCAACAATAACGCTCCCAACACTTTAGTGAAAAACAAAATCAAAAAATAATTTTAAACATTTAAAAAAATCAATGCATGCAGATTTTTTTATTGTTAGCGTAGAAAGTACCTGAATTGTGTTATTGCTAGACTGTCAAATCCTCTTATTTTACTGTATTCGGTTTTCATCTAAAAAGACATTATCTGCATTATTTATGGATTTCTAAATGTATCAAATGAATAATTATCTTAATTATGGAAATTATTTTTTACCTTATTTAACAGATTATTATGGCAACCCTTATATGTGCCTGAGTTCTTATCTGTCAGACAAGATTCAAATTCAGCTCCCTCCAGAGTGAATTTCCCTGTGATATCAACTGTTAAGAACAAAATGTAGAAGGTTACAGAGCATCAACCCTTTCTCCACACATGTACAGTTTAAAATGTTTGGTGAAATGAACAGTAAAAGTCCACATGCCTGCACTGCTTAAAGTGCACATTGAATTAGAGTCAGCCTTGAGGGTGCAGTTCTTCTCATCACAATCTACCCCTGTGAGACGAACTTCATCACTCCATTTGTGGCCTTCTTCGCATTTACATGTTTTGTTACCATTGTTGTTTTCTTTACATTCTTATTGGGGGTGGAAGAAACACACAATCATAAAACAAACAAAAAAACTGAAGAAACAAAGTTTTATCGACTTGGTTTTCTGGAACTGACAAATTTAAAAGTACAGTACTTGGAATCTTCCTTTGTTTCTTTCTTACTTGTGGTCATTGTAACGTCCTCGATGCTCAAGTTGCCTTTCACATTAAAGTTCAGCTTTGAACTGATGTTCTGAATTGCACTTCTGTCTATTTTCAGTTTAGCATAATACATCTGCGTTGAGTTCTCTGAAACTTTCAAAGAGAAACTGAAACATTAATTGATGCTTAAAGGTGCAGTATGTAACTTTTATGAACATACTTTTTTTACAAATTTGTTAAAATGTGTCCTGATAGTATAATATAAGACAGATAATCTGTGAAAAGATCAATCTCTTCCACCTCTTCCATGAGCTACTATTGACGTCTAATGAAATGCATCACTCCTGACCAAAAAAAACAACCAATCAGAACCAGGAGGAGGGTCTTACCGCTGTCACTCAACTTCACATACTTGCTAATAAAAATGTGCGAAAGGCAGAGAAACAACTTACAGGAAAACCATTTATATGCCAGCATTTGTGGCTACACTTACTAGCCTTAGCATTCACAACTTTCCCTGATAGCTGCAGCTTAGCAGAGAGCAAGAGGGAATAGGAGAGGGATGAGCAGCGCCACACGACATTGTGATTGACAGCGCTAAGACCCGCCTCTTGACTCTGGTTATTTCTAGTTAGCACTGGGAGCAACGGGAGAAGTCAGAAGAGCTTGATTTTTTGACAGATTATCTGTATCTTACTATTCTGCCATGACATGGTGACACTTTCAACAATTATGTAAAAAATAATTTTATACAAGTTTCATACTGCAGCTTTAAAGTAAAGAGCACCCCCAGTTGGTAACCTGTGAAGCCTTTACCATCATCACCAACAACCAGTGAAACAGAAGCTTTAAAGAAATACTCTTTACCTGTTGTAGAGGTCTACAAAGGAAAAAAACAATTTTATTAAATCTGATGTTTTCATTTTAATTTTTAGTATCTTTTTGTGGAATATGACAAACCTGACAGTTTAGACTCAGTATGTAGAGAAATATGAAGACCCACATCTTGATCCTGTAAAAAATTTTTTTTAATTAATTCACTGGATTGTAAAACTTTACCAAGTAAAACTCTGATTGTTTGGATCATGTTCCTGTGTCATACCTAGACCTGTCATGGCAACAGATTTTGCTGGACGATAAATTGTCCCAGGAATTGTTGCGATAAACGATAATATTGTTGCTTTGAAACCTTTTTCAGATAATATAACGCAAGAACACATTCTCAATGATCAATACACGTTAACTTCTAATGAACATTTAACACTGGACTGAAAGATATCTTAAATATCCAAAATAAATAAACAAAAACAACAAAAAAAGAATTATGAAGCCTCTGTAAACAAAATTGTCCTTCAAAAAACGGGTTAGTTGAGACCAAAGCACCAGACTGAAGACTTTTGTTATTAAATCTTTGGCATAAAAAGAGAGATAAAAGAGAAAGATGATAAATCGTTGGAAAATATTGAGATTTTTTCAATTTATCATGCGATTAATTGATTTATTGCTTATTGCGACAGGCCTATTGTGCCATCGTCCATCATCCCAGTGTAAAGGTGATGTTTCTCTGCACTGAAAACAGTCAGAGGAAAAAGCTTAGGCATCTGATAAGTAAACTTCCTTTTGCTAGTTTTTTAGTATCTCTCACAGGGAGGAAAACCAAAAGATCCAGAATTTACTGGAGGGACTTATGTGAAAGTTCTGACTTAGAAACAACTCAGGTTTTCCCAGGATGGGCTGGGACAAGGATGTCTGCCTTACACTTGTGGATCTGTAATCCTGTGACCCAATTTTATTTGTAATCCTTCCTACTTACACGGATAAATGTTTCATTAAAAAAAAGACAGAAAAACAACTAATTAAATATTGTAGAAAGTTGCAAAAGTGACCATAGATATGGCTGAGCTGATCTAGATTTAAAATAATTGACTGCAGTTGTATGTTAATAGGACGACTGGGTGTGACGCACAGGAACACTGCGGGCCATAAATAAGAACATATAAAACTAAAATTCACTTTTTATATCTAATTTCAAATACGTTTCACAGTATTTTCTGTATTTAAAGAGTTAAAACAATAAAGCTATTAAAATAGTAAATGTTACATTATTTTTGTATCGTTTTTATTAAAATTGTAAAACTGCAATGCGATTACAAAAATTTTGTACAAAGGATTGTGGACCTTAAATGTCCCTATTTAGCAAAAACACACAAAACTACAATATTTAACAACTATAATTATTTTGTTAATGTGAGTCTTCTTATAGACATGTTACATTTGGATTTGTTTTTTATGGATCATAATTCTAGAATGCATTTACATCTCTTATATATAATCATAATTGGTCTTATTGTCAACATCAGGAGTAATGCTTATTTACAGATAAACACATGAAACTGGTCACATCGACTGAGTCAGGACAAAAAACTGTGATAAAAATCTGACACTCATCAGACACATACTTGAATCACTGACACTTCATCCGTGTTGCACAAATTGTATATTTTTATTTTTAGAGTGCACAAATTCAAATGAATCTCTTTTATTGCTAAAATTATTTTAAACAATACACATACTGACATTTATGGCGTTAGAGGCAAGAGGTTTTTGTGTTATGTTTAAAAAAATTCAAAATATGCAGCGCACTGAATGCGTCATCAAAACCATATTAATTGCTTAATTAATTAATTGCTTTCATCATTAAAAACATAAAAACCTAAGACAGGCTACAACTAAATAATTGCATATATATTTATTATGAAAAAAAGATGAGCTCACCTGTGTTTTCTTGACGCACATCAGTGAACCTTGTGAACCTTCACAGCAGCAAACTGGCCGAAAAAAAGTAGCCGTCCAGTGAAAAAGCCAGTTTTCACACCAGGTTTATGGAGGACATGCAAACAAAAATGGCTCCAGCGACACTTTAATTTGACTGTCAAATCAGATTACAGACGGTTCTTTGTTTTATCATGCCATCTCGATGGATCTGTAGCTGTTATGAAATAAAGTATTATATTTCAGGTATTTTTCCCTCCTTTAAAAAAAAATAAAAGACAGCACGAAGTTATTTTACTAGTTTAAAGAGTAAGCTATACATGTTATGTAGCCAGTATTAAATACTCTAAAATGTACACAGCTTAGTTTGTACCATAACAGATGTAAAACCTGCAATTAAGACTCTTTTGTGTTTTCTCTATGTCAAATCTAGACTTTAATACAAGGTATTTAAATTGTGATGAGGAAGGGTTGAAAAACCAACAGTAATTTTAAATACACTTATCAAAATGCATTAAAACCAAATAAAACATGAGAATGATTCTATAGGCAGAGCAATTAAATAAAACAATTTATAAACAATGAATGTTTCAGACGCTTTACATACGCCCTTAAAAGTATTTACATCCAGTTATCTCCTTTTGCAACACCACAGGAAGACTATTTTACTTTACTTTTCACAGAGCTATGAATCTGGGTTTAGGCTGAATGAATCCCAAGGATAGAACATTCTAATTATTCTAATTCATAACATTACATTTTCTACACACCTAATATTTTAAAGCAGACAAACAAATGGAGTTAATATTCCTTGAAAACAATGTGATAGTAATTTAATTTACCTCTAAATAAGAATTTGAAAAGCCGCGGTGCGTGGCCATATTTTTCTCGTACTGTAGTTAGCCTGACATAGGACGAAGAAAAGGGAGTTCATTTTTAGTCATATTTTCCACTTTGTTACTCATTTAAAATGTCAGTGTCAAACTATATATTTAGTTAGATAAATATTACATTTACAAACTATCTAGCTCCAAAATAGATATTCAGTTAGCTAGCTAGCTATATATTTAGCTTCAAACCAAATATTGAGTTAGCTTATTAACTAGCTAAGTAATAGACTGATTAACTAGTTTGTTAATAAAACTATTAATTTAATTTAGTTAACAGCCTCAAAATAAATATTTACTTCGTATGCTAAATATTTAGTTTGTAAACACTTACCCATAACCTTGCAAAGTCTTGTGAACCTTCAAATAAATTCCTACCGGCGTGACTGCCTAACTTGCATCTCTTCATTGTTGTTTCTTTTCTTAGCGATATGTTCAACATTTCAGCTTAAACCATCAAATGAGTCGTTTTACTGGCTACGAACGTTTACAGCCAAGACGCAGGTTTTATTTTGATAGTCCACTTCCGGGCTTCGCCTCGTGAATTTGCACTTTAGCTAACCATTTAGCTTTGAGCTAAATATCTAGTTTCCTTATTAAATGTTTAGTTTGAAATTGTGACATTTATAAATGAGCTAAAATACTGTGAATAAAATACTGTGAAAAATTAACACAATTTTTCCATTAAAATGGGATTAATTTTGGGGGGGCAAACATAAAATTAACTACTTTAAGTTCGTTCAGACTGTCAATATCTACAGAGAAAACGGAAACACTATTTTTGCGCTAGCTTGCTGGGGGTTCGTGTTGACCACGCAGACTTAAAAATCAAACAATATCAGAAAGATTTTACAACTATTAATTCTGAATTGTATTAGCTTATGGTTCTGTCACCTTTAAAAAATTCTCATATGAAAATGTTCCACCGAAAACACAGACTAATTTGAATAAAAGAGGATTTATTTCAACCACACCTATGATATGGATCAGTGTGCCAACTTGGAGAGAATCTGAAAGTTGAATTGTAAAAAGAATCTCCAAAGAAATCCAAAAACAGCACCTGTATAAGTGTACAAACAGTGAACACATAATTTCCTATTTATTGTGACTATACCTCATATACCAGGTATGGATTACACAGTCTTCTCTTAAACATTTGATAATGTTTAAGTCCCTGTTCTAAACTGAACTCTGCTGTTTTTCTGTAGTTTGTTAGGACCTGGTCCACATCTAAAGAACTGTACTTGGGTATCTCTATGCTAAAGTTCAAAACATTTAGTTATAAGGACACACTTTTTCCAATGACATCATCAAATATCAGTTATGAGACTCAGAAAAGTGGTAAAGGTTTATTCAAGTAGGACTTACTTTATTTAAATATTTAAATTCTAACATTTCAGAGTCAAACATTAACCTTGAAGGTGAACCCGATTACTCAGAAATTTGCACCATCTAATCAAGTTTAACCAAATGTCTGAGGGATCTTTATATTGACTCCTGTCACTGGATCGTTTCCAGTTTGTACAACATCTAACAATGTTTTTATTTGGCACTGATCAATTAGTCAGTTTATCTATTATCTCACGGAAAAGAGCAAAAAAATATTTTTCATTCATCAATTTTAAACAGGTTTCTATTTTAATAGAGTTTATTTTGGTTTTAAATAATGATGGTAATGCAGCTTTGTAAAATTTTGCAATTAGTTTATGGTTTCTTGTCATCTTTAACTGTCATATCAGCCTCTCACAGGGTTGGTGTTTATTTGAATTTCTAGATAGTCCTTACAGTGCCTTGTGCAAACTGTTGCAGAACAGCAAATAGTGGTTTTGCATATTAGTCCTGTTCTTTGTACCATCAATACACAGCATGTTTGACAAAAACACAGTTCATTTTACACAAAGTAACATTACAGCTAAATTAATATTAGGGACATTTGTCAGTTAAGTGATGCAAAAGACCTGAACACACACACACATCATCAGTAATTACATGTACACTGAAACATTTCTGGTTCGTGAGATGTGTGGAAAAGTGTTAAGATTTTAGATTAATGATAAATTCCTATCAATGACATTTGAAAACCCTATAAACAGTCTCTATTGTCAGAATGATTATTTGAACTATTTCTTCCACTGCTGGCATCTGCAGATTTTAGCTAATCATATTTAAGACTTAACATAATTTTTAATGTCAGTTTGAATTAAATTCAAGTCTTAAAAAAATCATAAATATAAGGGGTCCTGCTGGTTCATATGTTGACAACAGAAGTGAGATGATGGCAACTACTGACGCATTTGCACTTTAATGACAGACGCAAAAAGCAAGCTAGTTAGCAAAATCAGCTAGCTACCACCCGCCTCGAGTCACAGAATGCGCGCGACTCAAACCTTTGAATGACAGAAAAATCTCGTGAGAAAAAAACAACATTCATACAAGACTGAACAGTCCTGACGCAACAAAACTTAACACCTGCAATTAGCGCCAACTGATATTTCAAAGCCATAATTTTATAGACATGACTTTAAGACTTTTAGAATGCGAAGAGAAACCCTGAGCTCTGATAGAGCCACAGAAATGCCTAAAAAAGAATTAAAATAAGTTGTAAATATTTTTTCAAATTCACAATAAAAATGACAACTTTTTGTACTAAAATCTTAAGTTTATATTGCCCACATTTGTTCTGTAGTGTGGGTGAAGGGCCACTGATTGCACACCCACATTGTATGCAAACTAAAATTTAAACACATTTTGACAAAAATGTCAGTCATTCTGCTTTTGGGTTGTTGGGACTGTTCCCTGAACATAAAGAAACCTTTTACTGAAACCTTTTAGCTACATGAAGTAGAATACATTTGACTACTCTTTATGCTTTGAAACATTACTTCATAGAATTTCATTGTGTATATTTGCATTACCAATGTGAGAAAACATAGATCCCTTTACAGTGCAGTTGTGTAAAAAGGTTCAAGCAGCATAAATCAAAATGCTTAAGTCCCTTGTACTGAATGGACGTAAAGACGCAAGTCTGTTTTGTCAGTGTTCCACAAGATGTAGATTACAATGAGTATTTTTTAAGTAATAAAATATATAATAAAAAAATTAGACACTTTTTATTACAAATTTTTAATCTTATGTAGAAAATTGGTTTTACAGTCTTAATTCCAGGACACAGTCAGAGAAGTAATTGGGGTGCCAAGTCTCACAGCTTTAGTAGTAGAGATGCAACAAATAATCGGAAAAAGACTTGAATCTGCCAGTTTGTTGTGGATCGTCTCTGATCAATCACGTACTCCGAAATTAATTGAACATTTTTGGTCTATAAACACATCAACTTTACTCCACCTAGTTTTGTCAAGGATTAGGCATATATGCAACAATGCATAAATGGAAACAACCTTGCACCGTTCCTCCTTTTCTGTTGCATTGAAAACTAGCACCTTGATAAAAGAGACTCCAGCACAATTTGTTGGTGCTTGTGTTACAGTCAATAGCAAAATTGTAGAGAGTAAAAATCGTGACCAGCGGGTCAGCTTTCAAATAAAACCTGAAATCTGATGTATGATGTAGTAGTGCTTCTCAAATATTAAAATACATTTTTTTTAATGTCTAAAAAGGATCAACTTGCTCATCAGCTCATTAATCTTCGATTTTTATGTAACATCATAGTGCACTTTCACAAGTATAAAGGCAATCTATTGAAACATTCAAGCAGCTGACTGGAACGGAAACATACTGTTGAGATCTACAAAACCTTCTCCGCTGCGAATCATTCAATCACAAAAAAAAACATCAGTCTGGAGCTGCTGCTGCTGCTGCTTCTGTGGCTCAAAGTGCAAACCTGATAAAAATCCCTCACCCCGAAGGAAAGGCATCACAACGACAAACGCATTGTAATCTACATGCAAATGCAGAACTCCGCTCCAAGTGCTTTATGTTCTGAGAGATTTCCGTCCTCGAGGGTGGACGACTTCGACGTCACACCGCTGTTTCGTACTCGATAACACGGGAGTCGGCGTCAGGCAGCAAACGCTCTGTCTGCTGCTGCGATGGTGTGTGTTGCCCACTGGTGGTTCCATTGCTTTCTTTGTGTGAACGTGGCCCTTGTGGGGATGGGATCTTAGGACAACAAGGAAAAAATGACATTAAAGCGGAGAGAGAGACAGATGGAATTGATTTAGACGTTTTAAGTTTCAGAACCATGTAAGTGACTTTATTCAGTCAACACTGGTCCTGTGAAATCACATTTGCCTACAAAAGAATGTGGTGCACAGAAGAGTTAACGGTTGGAAAGGTCTTGTTGGCATGAGGAGTCTCTGCTGAGACGATGCGTTTGCTTTCTGTCTGACGTGGCACCCAATATGGTGGAGTTTCAGCTGCAGCTCTACTGCTCTTTAGTAAGTTCTCTGACGAGTATCACGCAGCAAATTAATTTCTACATCTGACCTCGGAGAAAAATTACATAGATTTCAATTTCTGGAAGGATAGGAACCCGTCCTACGTGCAGGGCTGGAACTAACAATAATTTTAATAATTATCTGTTCCATCGATTACTCTGACAATCAATCGATTAATTGGATAAATAAAATTTACCACATTCGGAAGCTTTTTCATACAATATTCGGGATGCAAATAAACAGATAATTCAATTCCTTTTTTAAATATATATATTTTATTCCCCAAGATGAAATAAGATGGTATTCCTTTACGATTGATCATTTATAGCCCTGCTTGACTTAATATCAGTGCAGTGTAAGGGCGATCTGATTCATTTATGGATAAATCAATTAATAAATGGATAACCAAAGGTCAGAACAGGAGATATTTTTAACAGAATTTGGACAGGATCAATCAATCAATCAAATTTTATTTGTATAGCACATTTCAGCAGCAAGGCATTTCAAAGTTATTTAAATAATAATAAAAAAAACAGCATGTGACATTGAGTAAACAGTAAGAAAGAGAAAGAGATTTTGGAAAAAAAAAAGATTAAAAAAGATTAAAAAAACATTAAAACCCGCACCCCTTTTCAACCTGGGGTGACGACATCCGCACCCCTGTCCTTAATCTGGGGCTCTAACCCTCTGGGACTTTAGTCAAAACGCCGTTTGACAAGGACTCCAACCTCTAGGTTTATAGTTGAAACAGCGTCAACAGGGACTCTAAACCCCGTAGGACTTTAGTTAAACATCGTTTAACTGGGACTGAAGGATGAAGATTTTTACATCTTAAATGCCAAATGTATATATTTTTCTGCACAGTTTTAGCTTATTTAATATCTGAGGCTGTTGTTCTTTAAGCAAATTAAAGTACCGATTAATCAATTATTAAAATAGTTGAGGATTATTTCAATAACCGATTAATCACAATTAATTTTCAGCTCTACTTACATGTTTTTCCTCTATGAAATGAGAGACTTGTAATTGTTTTTTACATTTTCCTACAGTCTTTACCCAGGTTGACAGAAGGCATCAGTTGCTCTAGCCATTGCTGATCTCTTTCCATCTTGATGTTTTAGCACAAAAGGTCACACTGCCTGACGAAGGTCAAATAATCAATTATAATTTCTTAATAGCAGCAACTGGTTGTTACCTAACCTCATAAATCCAAGTGAAGCACCAAGGGTGTACTTACTTTTTCCATCATTAATAGCTATTGAAAAGTTTTTGCCTGACTTGTTTGTTTTGGTCGGAAACTTTCATCTTTACTTACGGCCGGTCTCAGAGGAGTCACGCAGCAGACGTTCTTCTTCCTGTGTTCGGGCAGAAAAAAAAGCAGCTTTCCTAACAACGGATAGACTGTTCCAGGTGTCGCCTCCCCTTCTTTCATTGGGCCTTGGCACAAACACAAACGTTGCAAAGTTTAACGTGAAGAAACGTTTCACATTAAAGTGAGGCGGCATGAGTAAATGTCACAGTTTTGGATACCTGTGAGAAAGCTGACGGTCAGCCCGACGAGGATGACTATCAGGCAGCTGAAGCCGGCGTACCACATGTAGGACAGAGAGTAAAACCTGTGCAGCCCCGTGGGCCGACTGAAGAACAGAGTTGAGTTAGTCTCGAGACAAAAAGTCACTGGTAACATTCGCCGTTAACGGCCGGAGTCCAACCTCGTCACGTTGCCGATCGCCGTCTGAAAGGCGGCGGTTGTGTTGATGTGGCAGCTGGGCGGCAGCCGCTTAGCGCCAGAGCTGCGGGTGACGATGCTGCCGATGCCGACCCAGAAAGCCCCGACCAGACCTGCGCCCAGACCGGCCACCGCACCCTGGAAACAAAGGACAGACTGTCTGTGAACAACTCAATAAAGTTCTTCTATTTGTGATGACCTGGGATAATTACTGACAGGAATAAAGTCATTTAATAAGTTAAATATCATTTTACACTGATGTGCCACTGTTCAAATAAAAACCGATTTGTTTTGACTTACAAAGTAAGATTTAAGCAAACAACTGTTATTCTGAAGTTGTGTTTATGTGGCCACATAAAGAGCAACGTTAGGCCGAATTTGGCCCGCGGGCCTCGAGTTTGACACGTGATATATGGGGACACAGGAAACATGTGGAAGAAGGTCACCTGAACACATCATCCACAGTAAAACAAGGTGGTGCTGCTAAATGACTGAATAAATACACATATAAGCTCAAAAACAAAGATATTTATTGTTTTTAAACCTGTTATTCAGGTTATTCAACCATCAGGCAGGAGGAAACAGCTGATATTATGAAATATTGTTTTGCTTCTGCACGACAAAAATAAAGGCATTCTAAATTGTCAACCATTCAGCCTGTAAGTGTTTCAGGAACATCTGATCATCACTGAAAAAATCCTTTGAAAATGTGAAGTGTGGCCAATAACTTTATTGTTGGGACGTCTGTGCTGCTCAAACATGTTTAGTGTTGAGATGCCATTTTGAAATAGCTTCGCTGACAGGCTAACTCCTTTTAGCACAACTTGAAAATAACAACAGTATTTTCCAGCGTCCGAACACATTGTTTTCTCAGGCAAAAATTATCCCTCTGTGTCCCGAGAAAAGCGGCTTGTTGTTTGCGAATGTTGCGTGTGCGTCAGATTTACCGGC